GGGACATGGGGCGAAGGGTGAAACGGAGACCCAACACGCGGATCTTCCTCCCCGCCGGTCTCGTGCGAGGCGCACGATGGCAGAAACAGACGGCGAGATAGAAACGGCTTTATCGGCTCTTTGAGAGCGTTCGCACCTCTTGACCCCGGCCTCGTAAAACCGACTCCACGAAGGAAAGCGGACGCCCGCGCGATCTGTGCACGCGTGCGCGAAAGTGCGCGCCGTGCAGCCGCATGCGGCCGTAAAACCGGTGCTCCAGACCGCCGTGATTAGTGCTGCATCGCGCACAGATTCGGAGATGCAGCCGGCCCCAGGCTCTTGACTCCCGTTGCCTCCGCATGAGCCTTTCCTTTAGCACGTCCGCGTGCAATTTCAGAAATACACGGGCCGATGCAACAACTATTATCACTTTGAAGACTTTCGATCAAATACTTCCGGTTAAACAGACAAAGGTGAGCTTCAGAGCTTCGAAACTGCCTAGAAATCTAGAAACCTATCCAGAAAGAAGAAACGTTACAAATATATAAGAATGTTTGCCACTGACTTGGGACTATTTTTTTCGGTGTACAATTTTTGTTTGTTTGACAAAGGATGATAGGTAAAATGGGCTGATTTTGGAGCTCGGAGTGATAAGCCAAAACGGTGTGTTTTCTTGTGGTTTTTATATCTGATCTCAAAAAGTATTGTTATTTGTCGGGACAGTATTAAAATCATTAAAATTGAAATTTTTCGAAAGTCAGAATCAGATTCAGTAGCTCAGAAACTACAAAAAAAACATACCGTTTTTACTTTCCATTCCGGGACTAATATTAATCCATCTTACCTCTTGTCTTTTTCTCTTCTCTTATATTTTGGAGATGTATTAAAGGTGGTAACAATTATTGCCTCACCTTATATATGGCTGTTGAAGCAACTATTACAATTAAATAAAAAAATTAAATACGTAAATTAGTGGATAAAACAAATCAAGCGGAAATAAAAATAGCAGACGATGCAAATCTTCTCGAACTTATTCGGCGTCCTCAAACTTGTAATTTAAACTTATATCGACAAGAAAAGACATATATCATTCATCTAGTTTGCTCTGGAATATCTGTACTTCCCGGTACCGTGCTATCGATAGTCATCCATAATATAATTGCCTGCGCGTTGTTACCCGCGAGGAACTCGACGATAATCAGTTTCGCGAGTTTGACCAGCTGGCGCACCGTCCACTTCCGCCCTTCCATACTTCGTCACTAATTACACTCGACACGTGTTAAACTAATATGTACGCTCGCAGCAACCGGGAAGAGAAATAACCGCGATGAAACGATGACTGTGATGTGAGTTCTCGCCTCGCGATAAACGCTCGCGCCTTTTCTTTCTCGTTAATTTCCGTTCATGCCGCGGTATTTCCCGGAGATTTCACGATACGGAAACGCACGTAACGGTACATTGTAACTAATCACAACATGTGCCCAAGTTCAAGTCAATTTATCGTTTGATAAAATTAAATTTCCGTGAGAACATTTCCGTAAAAGAAAGACAAATTCGAGGGGAAAATGTCTGGAGGATTAATCAAGTTTCCACGCGCTGGATATTCGCGTGTCTACCTGCTGATAATCGTCCGAAGCTCCGGGACCTGTCGAAGTCGCAAGGTGCAAAGAGGAAAAAGGTGGCGTACCTTTAATCGGCGACTGATCCACGAGCGGACCACGCTCACGATCGGGAATTCGATAACCGGGGATAGGGGGGCAGACAAGCAGGACGAGAGAGGATCAAGGGAGCGAGAGCTGGAAGGAGATCACGACATACCGTAAGCACGAGGAATGCCTCCAGCTGGATTCCCCGGAGCCAAAATCACTCAAACCGATCGAACGCAGCCGCTCCCGTGGGAAAATCATTTGCCTCGCTATTTGTGGGCTCGCAATTTCGAACGAATCGGCGAAACCTCATTTATCGAGTCGATCCAACATGTCTTAGAATCCCGATCCTATTTTACAACAGACCCGTTTGTTACTCACAAATAACACCGTTAGAGATCGACAACCAAAAGTAATCAATGATATCCTTTCCATCGAACGGACAAAACTCTCGAGACTCACGGTATCGTGGCAATCGTTACATTCTCTGTCACGTGTCCTGAAAAGGTTGTGCTTATTTCACCATAAACTTTCCAATTCGTCCACTGTCCGACAGAAAGACATTATCTCATCTTACATATTTAGTCATTACACGACCCGACGCCTTAATGATAACCGTTTATGGCGATCGGAGAAATTAGCGACACGCGTCCATCATATGATTGCTGCCTTTTTCAGCGCGACCTGCCTAATGAGCAATTCCGTGGACAACTGGGTGAACGGCAACGCCGTGGTCTGCAACGGTATTCCGGGACTGACGAAGGAGCAACGCGAGCTCTGCCACGTGAATCCGGACGTGACCGTCGCGGCGCTCAAAGGGCTGCAACTGGCCGTATCCGAATGCCAGCATCAGTTCATGTGGCACAGGTGGAACTGCTCGTCCCTCACGCCCAGAAGCAGGACCCAGCAGAGCAGCGTTCTCCTTCAACGAGGTATACCGAGAGAACATCGCGAGAATACGTAACACTTAACGAGCGAGATTATCTGATCAGATCCGACGACCCGTGATTAATAATCCGCCGACCCGCTAATGGCGAATTAATGTTTCCTGGATCATTAAATTCGTCGCGGTTCGCGCCATAAATACAAATGAGCGAAACGAGTAAGACTCCATTAAGAGACTGGAACGACCTGTAAAACCGCGTGAAAAATGGCGTGATTCCAACGAGAATTTTTTCATCACTCCGCCCGCACTGCCCGACCGTCTTGAAACAATGCAGATTCAGGTAGAAGCATTCCGAGCGACTTTCTACTTGGGCAAAAAATTACCATGAATCATCCGGTGTAATAGATCATTTTTGCGACCACAAAGACGCCATTGCCTCCGTCCGCCTATTCGTTTGACTAATTCTACCGAATTCACCGGACAGTAGCGAAACAATCAATTACTAGCGAAAGTTCAGCTCACTCTTGTGACGAATATAAATACGAGCTGTACCTGATAGATGTTTATTTAGCTTCCAAAGGTTGCACCCTTCGTACAGGTGATCAAGGAGGAACGTGACCAAAAAGGACGTACAGAATACGTTAAAGAAACCGATTATAGAGGAGAAACGTATCGTACTTGTGTCAAATTGGTTCTTATTAAAATTTTTATGTCACATCCACTGTTAATTCTTAATATACCTATAAGTTAATTTAAAATATTGTGTTTATGTTATCTCAATATTTTGTGTTGAATCGATATTTCGCATATGTAAGTGTTAAAATAACACATTTTATACTTTGACACGTTAATTTTGTATTAAATTTTGATGTAATATTTGTTACTATTCAACACATTCATCTTGTGTTAAATTTATAATTATAATTAATTGGCACAAAATTGTGCACGGGTCGTTTGGGACATGTGAAGTGTATAAAATTTCACACAAAACTGTTTACTATATCCTACACTGCAGATCAGAGTGTGTAATTTTACACACTTTATGTGCGTAAAATCATAGTAATGACACGCGCATACAAGTGCGTAAAAAGTGACTACATGATTCTACACACAAAATGTATAAACTTACACACTTGGATTTCCAGTATAGGAATAGAAACTTCCGTTCGGTAACATTTCGCATCCACGAACGAAAGTTCTGGATGATTCCTCACGGTACAATTGCCGGGCACGGGTTCCACGGAGGGTACAAAGTGGAATCTTTTACGACGTCGTTGACGAGACGACGGCGTAGGTGAGGCGAGAGGCGAGACGAGGCGCGGCGAGGCGAGGTGAGACGACGCGTTTCCTTAAATCAAAGCGCACAGCGTAACCTACCCGCGACAGGCCCCGAAAACCTGTCCCAGTTCCATAAGAAGACCCTGCCCCCACGGGCCGGCCTATTCCGGTGTGACATATAAATTCGTCGTGGCGCGTACGTGCGCCGAAAGAGGAAACATATATCGTGTCGGACGAATGCGCGAGAACGCGACATCGGGCGCACCTGACCTGAAAGCTTAAGCCCGCTTCGCGGGCCCGTCCGACCCCTCGTTATCTGCCTCCGTGAATCGGTGGTACGCCTTTTCTTGCCCGCGGGACAGAAGGAGGTGTCGATTCCACGACTTTTTCGAGAGTTATGTAAAGCGACCCGTCCAGTCGATCGTGGAATTCTAACGAGACCTTCGGCACGAACGTAATACCCTTTTTCGCGTTTCGCGAATCGCCTCTGTTCCCACCGCATTCATTTCGATCCAACCGATCGATCAGTCTTCGATCAGGCTGCTCGGTGAATTTCCAGTTTCTTCGGATGCTATATGTCTCGATTGTAACAGTCCCGCGGTATAATTTCGATTTCCATTACAATCGTGAAATTTTCTTAGTAACGACAATCCTCCATTTCGTCTCAGCACAATATACCTTGAGAAGACCGCTTCTGAGTTCGGATTTTTTCTGTCGTATACGACAGACGCATGAAACGACTGCGGGAGTTCGCGAAGACGTTTGCACGCAACGAAGGTTCCTCTGAGGTCTAGAATGTGAGATCGAGCGTGCGAAGAAGGTTCGATTCATCGATTATCCGTAACGTCGACAACAACTAACAGGTCATTATTAGATTTTGGTTGTCGAGTCAGAGGGCAGCAGCTTCCGAGAAGCATGAGACCTCATCGTGCGTTTAAGCAACGACCGTCCAACCTCGGCTTCCCTGCTTTTCGAGGTAGACATCGGTGGCCAGGTGAGAGGACGGTTCGTGCGACCATTCGACAAATCCACCGTGTCAAATTTGGGCCTTGGGTCCGGGTATCTCGTGAAGAGCCCGTTCACTGAGCTAAGTCACTCGGACACGGTCCTCTCGCCCTCTCATTGCTCTCAGCACGATCCTGCTTTCCCCCTGCCGCTCTCCTCTCTCGGACCTCTCTCTCTTTCTCTCTCGTTCTTTCGTCTATCGTCACGACTTCGTTGGGGTTTCGGCAAAACGACTTAATGTATTGTGAAAAGTACACGAAACCGACATTTGGCCGCTGCGACCACACAAGGAGACAAGAAAGCCTCGCTCATTCGCGTTACCGACTCGCTGACGGCGCATCGCCACGAATGAAACGATTTAAGACCGTAAATATGGAAATGCCTGTCGCCCAAGTGGAGGTTTTTCTTCTTCTCCTATTTTCTGAGACCGCTCATTCGGTTTTTTGACCTCCCAGTTTTCGACCTTCCCGGCAACTCTGACGTCTTGGGATCTATCCATGAAGATGCACTCGATTAACGGACATGATGGGGCTCGTTAAGGGTCGTCGACGTGCGAAGGCGAAGGTCGAGCTGGACGAGACATCCGTAGACCGATCGTGCCGATACATCTTCCGTATTAATTAAGGGGGAGACGTCGTGCATCCGCCGAAGTAATAAGTACTTTTCACCCGAATCAAACAAAGACGACGCCATTAATTGAGCGGACTCGTTGTATCAGTTTGATTTATACGCCTGTATACTGCAGCGGCACGAAGGACATTGGCGTTCTCACACGAATTTCCAGCGCTCGTGCGTGCGCTCCTGCAATCTCGCTCGTATTAGGACAAATAACTCCACATTAGCGAGGTTAATGGAACATATTTCGATTGAATATATCGATAAACAGGTTATTTTATCATTTCCAGACGTCCATATTATTTTACATCAATATTAAGACATTAATTACAATATTCGGATATAATTTTTTCAGGCGTTTATATTGACGAATTAAATATTTTTTTTTATTATTCGAGAGGAATGTTGTGAATTAACGAGCCTTCTAAAAAGTACAGTGAGAATGTTACTGAGCCTCAGTTACCAAATGTAAGACCTTATATGGAGTGTTTTAAGCGCAATTGAGATTATGCGTATCTGAGAATTGTCACTAAAAACTGACGGTAATCGGATCTTCTCATTTCAATACGCAATCTATTACCGGATGCAGTAAATGAAATACATATATGAATTGAAGTTTATTGCCGACATCGATCTTTATCTTATAAAAGATAATTAGAATACATATTTTATCGCTCCAATTAAAAATATGAAGTTTGATTTTGAGAAAGAAAATTTCGCTATTACTTCAAGACACGAAAAAATGTTGCTAACAAATCTTTGCATTTGTGTGTATATTTAGTATTTTCGGCTAGAAAAAGAACAAAAATAAAGTGTCAAGTAATCTGAAAACATTCTTTAATTGTGAGAAAAAAATTTAATATCCGATAAACTATATGCAACATGAATGTTAATTTTCAATTTTCAGAAAGAATTTCTTTCCTACTATTTTCGACCACCTTACTTTTTATAATTTAATAAAACATTGAGTCCCATCGGTAATGGAGTCGGTCTTGGTAATGAGGGCTTTTACTGTACAAATAATTCCACGAAGTACAGGTGTTCTGCCTGTTTCTGGATAATCGTGATCGTATCGAAAGTGGCGATTTAGAGACACTATCGAGATTAACGAATCGCGTGAATCGCGAGCAAACTCGTTGCACCCGTTCGATACCATATCTCCGGGATCCGCCGCCGCGTTCCCGAAGGACACGCGTGTCCTCACGGAGACCTCCCGAGTGCTATCTATTGAGTTATCTAAATACCGATTCGGGCCTGACACGCGAGAGTAGCAGGACCCGCGCACCATCCGTCACTACGTCGAGCCGCGTCGAGGCTCGCCGGCGAGGAGGCGAAGGAGTGGAGACCGCTGCGCGTTCCTCGGGATTCTTCCCTGCCTTCCGCTTCGCCAGGCTCTCTCCGGCTGTCCCTGGGAGGGACAGAGAAAGGGAGAAAGAGAGGAGAAACGTACAACTCCCCGCGGAGGATTTATTACGCGTCCCCTCCGCCTCTCTCGCTGTCGAGAAACAGCGGCGATCTCGCGGCACGGTAGCTATCTGCATTATAAAACAGTTGCTGCCAATAGCCGTATATAGCGAAAGCTCCCAACGACCCCTCCTCCCCACCGTAGAACCATATAAAGGACCTTCCCTCCCATCCCCTCGTGTCTCCTTCCCCGCCGAACGACGCGCGCTCCTCTTCGGCGTCGAGAGGGTTAGCATCCTCGGCGACGGCGCGCGATATCGGGTTCGGATGGTGCTCGTCGGCAGTGACGGTCCACCCTGGTTCTCATTCTCGACGGTTCCTATCGGCCCGCTGAATCTCGAAGAAATGTCCTCCTCTTGGCCGTCGACGTCCGGAAGATCGACCTCCGGGATTCATGGAGGAGGCTGTTTAACGTCGCGCAGCAGCTTCTCGTGCGGCCGACGAAGAGCGACGTAATCAGCTGCCAGCTGTCCGACTGCCTCCTGCGCTGAGGAACGGTCAAACGGATCCATTCTGTCGGGTGATCTAGTAACGGGATCGACAGCGGCCGAAAAGATCCCTCTCGCGTCGTCGACAGTCGCGGCGCGCTGCCCGAATCGGAATTTAGAATCTGCTATAAGTCTCGTAAATGCTAACTTGTAGTCTTACAATGCTCCTTACGCTACAAGTCCTACCGTAGTATTGCAACAACGTCTTTTTGCACGAAGAACGAATAAATCTCACTGATGTTATCCAAGTCCTATGCTATGAGTATTTGCAAGGAATATTTGAAATTATTTCAGACTCGGCTATCTTCGACAGCTATATCGGCTGTACGACATCAGAAGTGAGAGATGGTATGCAGTACATTTCTCGCGACATGTAGCTTTAGTTTTCTCATTTTTCAATTTTTTCTGAAAGATATAGTTTTATAACTTCTGAAATCTGTGAAATATGCGGCAATTGTCCGTCCAATATTTCATGTAGAATAACAAAATCATTCCTGAAATAACAATGTATGTTTCAGCCATTTTCAGCTGTCACGGCCCCTTTTTTTAGGGAAAATCTTTCGACAGATTTCAAAGTGCGATTTGCAGGCTTAATGTAGAATTAAAATTTCAACTCGATCGAGATTTCAACGCACTTCATTTCTTTTAAGAACGGCGACTGAAGAAGAAGTTGTGTGTTATTTTGGAAGCAATCGTCGTTGTTGAGAATATTAATCGAATAAGCGTCGATCGAATGATTCCACCCCCTTCCGATTTTCGACGTAAAGAGAGCGAGTGAGAAAAAGCCGTTTCAATCCGGTATTCCGGACTCAAAGACAGTTGTATGTACGTCGTATCGTTTGTAAGTTGACAGCCACCATCGCAGCTTCGAAAGCAGCCGTCCGTCAATCGCGTCCGGACGGCCCAAAGATCTTGAGAGACCTTGAAGGGCCCGGAGAAAAACTGCATTTGACATCGCATTATTTACTCATGATGGACCAGCCTGACTTTTTGAAACAACCTTTGTCATCCAACATCTACCTCGTATTTCTTCGTATTTTCGACCCTTTTAAATGTGACTGACTTCTGCACAGCAATTTCGTTCCAGTATTTGATATTCATTACAAACGCACGTGAAGAAACTTGCTGGTGACTCGGCTAGTTGAAAAAAAAAAAAATTATAAATCATAATATCGCGATATGAGCAATCTTATATCATTAAATAATGAAACTTCGAAACGGGGAAAATAAAAATTGCTGAACTTTCCACGTGCCACGTTGCGTCTAGGGAGATCGGGAAGTGCTCTGGGAACGGCGCGCCGCGATTTTCGTGCGGAATCGGGTGAGAAATCGCGATTTGTCCGCGGGCGACTCGCGGAGACAGAGTTCGGCGTCGCGTCTTCAGGCACCCCGTCGCGAGATCGTTTATACATGCGGACAGTGGATGCCCGCCGGCCGCCGCTGCTGATGGCCGCGCTTTGTTTTGACGGACGGCTGAATAATCTACCTCTGAACTGCGCCTGATGGCTGTCCGTCCCGTCTGTCGGCCCGTTCCGTCCCGAGCTCGCTACCGAAGTTCCTTCTACGGAAGCTCGGCTTCACCGGTGTCCCGCTGTTTCATGCTCATTCCTTTACTCGCGAGAGGAGAGAAGCGAATGCGATATCGCGGCCTTGCGTATATTATCCGCGTCGGGCCTCGTCGGCGTCACCGGCAATTTGCTGACTCTCGACAGAGACGATCACGGGACCGACGAGAATGTCTTCCCGATGCCTCGATGCGTCTCAAACAACTACCCGCCGATACTTGAAGATTCTGGGCCAGAGTTGTGTTACTTTGGTGTGCCTGCTCCGTCGCGATCGGAAAAATGGTTTCAATTCAATAGTGAACGTGCGGTAAATTAAATGGAAAATAAAATCGTATTTTTCATTCGCAGGTATTCGCGCAACAGGCCTAGGATCGTCGCAGAAAGTGAATTTTGACTTTCCCATGTTTTCCAGACGACAGTGGGAAATTTTCCATGATTAATATGTAATCTTAAATTTTTAACGTTTAAAAACAGGGAAAATCTAACCCATATTTATGTATTAGAAGTAACACACAAACTTAGAAAGCTTGGAAAACAAACTTAGAAAACTTAGAAAGCTTTTTCATAACATGATATAATCCTGAATGCAAATTGTATTCATTCAGATAGCGCTATGCGCGCGGTACAGTTACAAACCGACGCTGTCCGAAGTGCAAACAACAACAATAAAGTTGACGTCCGGTAAAAAATGTAATCTCGAGTTGTTCGGATGTACAGTCCCAGAATTCCCCAGGCGGTGTGCGGTGAGGAGTGGCGAGCCCGCTCAGCGAAAATCTATTATCGCTCAAGATAAGCGGGCGCAACATTATTTTCATTGTGATAATCTCAAAACGCAAGGTTCAAGCTTTCATTGAATCCCTATTAAAAGTTTCTAGTATGTCAGGTTTGCTCGCAACATTGCTTCAGAAATAGCCAAAAACGCGTTTCTTCGTCTCAATTTTCCGAAGAATCTGACGTGTGATACCAAACTTTCGCTTCCTGATTCGGATTCGGCGACCAAAAGTCCATCGGGAAATGATACAACTTATCCATGTTGCGCGTTTAATGTCGACCTGTGTTATCAGTTGCACTCTGCTTACAGGCTACAGAGAGACGGCGTTCGCCTACGCGATTTCAGCAGCTGGTGTAGCTCACAATGTGGCTCGTGCCTGCAGCATGGGTCGCTTGCTCTCCTGCGGCTGCGATCCTTCGAACTACAGGGGTAGAACGCCGGCGAAGGCCAGGGGCGTCCAATGGAAGTGGGGCGGTTGCTCTCACAATCTCGACTACGGCATGCAGTTCTCGAGACAGTTCCTAGACACGCGGGAGAAAGCCGGCGACATACAGTCTACGGTGAATCTACACAACAATCAAGCCGGTCGGCTGGTAAGCGCTACTTTCGCAACTCCGCTGTAGTTAAACTCCGGATGTGAGCGTGTACCGTTAAACTCCGGATATTTGAGCGTATATTTCTTCTCGAGAAGACAAAAGAAGAGGAGATAAATATTAGGCGTCCCGCGCTCTTCTTATTTTCACTACGTAGGTTTCTGTTATCCGACCGTATCAGCTCTCCTTTACGGTCGTTAAGCTAATGAAGATACGTGATCTCACTTTGGAATTCTGAGAAAATCATGTCCTTAGACATCCTTAGAAAATCAAGTTGGAGGGAACTTTTAATTATTACCGTAGACACAAAGTTTCCCGCTCAATTGAAATTTCTATCGACATTTTTCGCTCGGTAAAACTTCTTTCAGCTGTATTCCATTTGTAACAAAAAAAAAAAAAACGTTCGATTCTGTTTCCTGTCTTTTTCGACGTTGAATCCAAGATGCCTCTCAACATAATCGAGGACTATCCCTGCAACCTCCGCGCATACACACACAGGCTATCTCACGACAAATGATGCGCCATCATCTGAAGCAGACGCGCGCAAGAAATGTACCGTTAAGCGGTCGGCGGGGAATCCCGAGGAAGCGAATTCGCAATCGCGTGCCGCGTCCGTCCGCGAATAACGTAGCGCGCACGCCACGCCGCGTCCTGCCGCGGGTCCTGCCGCATAAGAGTGCTCCGAGTGATCCTGCGCGCGCGCGCGCGCGATTCTCCTTTCTTCGTCCTTCCTCCTCCGTTCTACCTTTCCGCTGGCTTTTACTTTTTAGCGGAGCGCGTTCTTCTTCCCTTCCTCCGAATGCCGCGAGAAAGGGAGAAAAAGAGGACGAAAAAAAGAATAAAAGGGAGCGACGAAGAGAGAGGAAGGGAGAGCAGAGGGACAGAGAGGGAAAAGAGGAAAAAAGAGAGAGAGAGGCCCTCTCCTTTCCTCCGTGGACCTCTCCACGCTCGCTCTCTCGCCTCGACGTTATTAAGACGAAGCCCCGGGCTGGACCACCCAGCCGTAGACTCATTAACTGTTTTGTACGCGACACCTCTTTGTTTAAAAGAAACTGGGCCCTCCCCTTTCTCTTCTCTCTCTTGCCCCCCCCCCCCTTCTCCGCTCGTCTCTCACCCTCTTGACCACCCTCCTGCGCATCCGAGCGACTCGTACCTGTTTGTACAGCGTGTTAGAACCGGCGTTTTTTAGCCGAGACGTCGCAACGGCGGCACCGTGGATATCGCAATCTGAGGGAAAGATTCGATTCGGCCCGCCTCGTCCGCCGGGCCGAAGGCTCGGACGAAGAGGAGGCTGTGCTCGACCGTGGCAGGCGTAAATGAAAAAGTCGATCGACCGTTTCGCGCAAAATCAACCGACGTGGAGGTGACTTCTTAGCGCGACTTTGTCGCTTGGAACTGTCGATACGCGAGACATCTCGGCCATTGCTCCCTCTTATCCACGAGGGTCGTCCGTAAAGTAATGTCCGGTAGGGGCTATTAAAAAAAATGACAGTTATCAGAAACATATTTTATTTTATTGTTCGCGAAAAATGCTGAAATAATGACGACTATGTGGAAAAATGATGAAGAAAAGTTTCAAGTAATTTACGACCGTGATGGAATATTTCTTTTTGGTAACGGGCTTTCATTCAATAGTCTACTGGACCTTAGTTGCCACATAATTTCATTATTCGAATATGATGTGTCGGAGGTTCAAAAATTCGCTTCGAATATAAATTTCTAGCCCTAGTCGGAAAACGTTAAAAAATCACCTCCCATCGCATATTCTTACACGAAGCTTACACGATAACAATACAACGCAAACGTTTTGTTCACGATTGCAGGCGGTGGCGAACAACATGCAGGTGCGCTGCAAGTGCCACGGCATGTCCGGCTCGTGCGAGCTGAAGACCTGTTGGAAAGTCGTCCCGGACTTCCGGACGATCGGCAAGACTCTGAAGGATCGTTTCAGGAACGCCGTTCTGGTGACGCAGAGCAACCTGGGCAGCGTGACACCGTCTTCGAGGGCTCGCGGAGGCCGTCGGAGGAAGCCCGATCAGCAGAGGCGGCGGAAGAATCGCGTCGGCGAATCCGGTCGCAAGAGGAAAACGCGGGACCTCGCCAAGCAGCTCTTCTATTACCAGAAATCGCCGAATTTCTGCGAACGGGACCCGGCGATCGACATAGCCGGCACCGCCGGTCGTAGGTGCAACAAGACCAGCACCGGCGGCGACAGTTGCGGCAGTCTGTGTTGCGGCCGGGGTTACAACGTGGTGCGACAACGGCGGACGGAGTGGTGCGGCTGCAAATTTCACTGGTGCTGCTTCGTGCAGTGTCAAAACTGCACGGTCGAGGAGTGGATCACGGTTTGCAAGTGAGGGGGGTACCGACGAGGAGGAACGACGAAGGAAGCGATGGAGGTTTAAGACTGACGAAATGTCGACATTGACGTCGTTCGTTTCGCGAACGGCTCGGTGAGCGACGGAGATCGAAGGGGAAGTGGACGATGACGGGTTCGCGCGGGCTCGATAAGAGAAGCAATTAGCCCCGGGGATCCGCCGTGGGCGCGCGAGACTGCTCGTTCGCGGAGTCGATTGTAGGACGTAAGACGATAGGATTAAAGATACGGTTCTTATTGAAGTCGGGATTACCAGGCACGAATTTCTCTTGAACGATTGAGACATCCGAACGAATCTTTCTCTCTCTCTCTCTCTTTCTTACTCTCTATTAACTTCGAAGCTCTGCGAACGTATTAGAAACGTAATAATCCTCACTAGCGAGATTAAGTCCGATTTATATAAGAGGTGAGGCTCCTTTGAATTCGATCGTAATTCAATTTTCTACTCGCTGGCGTGTCGTTAAAAATTGTACGCCTCTATCGTGAATCAACTCATTAATTGCACTATTCGAGAGTCCGTCTTAATGTTTATTGCAGCGGTGAAACGACGAGAGACTTGTTTATCATTGAAACGTCCAAGTCCAATTTTCGCGTAAACGACCGTTGTCGTGGGGAAACCACCGCGAGTTACGAAGCCACGACTGGCATGGCTCGTACTCTATTTACTCAAAGCTCCTTTCGGACATTATATTTCGTTTTATCGATCTTTAACAATTGTATCTAGGAGGTAATCGGATCAGGAGTAACAGAAATATTTGAATCAATGCAGAGAGATCCAACGACAGCACTAGAAGTTACATTAAACGCTCCGTAATGGTACGAGTAATACAAACTGATTTATACATAGGCTAATCGAACCTTATAATTTATTTATAATGATGCTCTATTTAATTAATATTTAATTTTAACTTCTACGTAAACTGTAACACCTCCATCTCAGTATTATTAGACGAGACACGCGTGTCCCGTTCGATGGACACGAATTGTATACAATTTAATAATGCGCGTACAATAAAGAGAGTTCCTTTAAATGATACACGTCGTACGTTTGTCTTCGTCGATTTATTACGTCGAGTAAGTGCATGATATTCCATACGACTGTTTTATTGGTTGGACTGTTTCATTGTTATTATTATTTGTCACATACGTTTGATGATTCTGCAAGCAAGTGAAAAAGCAACGAGAGGGATACTCTGTGTGCGTTTGCAGAGTGAATTATTTCTGAACACCTCAATTCACCGACACGGTGCGACCTGTTTCCTTATTGATCACCGTCGTGATTACAGCGCTTGAAAACCTCGGATAAATCTGTGCCAATCCCATCTTTGCCGAGAAAAAACGTTGTTCCACTAAGCCACGAAGTTTCCAGCAATCAAGGCTAATTGTCTTTTCCTAATTATACCTCTGCCTGACAGAGTACTAGCGATTACTACTGCCGCCGCGCGACATCATTCGACGAGCCAGAACCGAGTATTGTCCGCACGACATTTATCACGAATCGCTTCGATGCTCCCGGAATTTGAAAAATCGCTCGATTTCACGTCAAAAACACGTTCGACATGTTGTGTATCTTTTTTTTCGTCCTCCGAGCAGGCCTCGATCGGAACCACTGTCGATTCCCGCGACTATAATTCAGACCGCAACACGGATAGGTCGATACCGTGCGAGTGTCGTTCTTTGATACGAGCCGCCAATAATCCCGAAGTGTGACCGGTACAAGCTTTATCGTGCGATCGGCGATTCGTCTTTCGCTCGGACGATCGACAGGGCCGCGCGGAAAAAGCGCGAGAGGGGTGGCGGATCGGCGGTGCAAAGGGTCCGGAATGAAGGAAGGAAGGAAGGACGGCAGAGGTACCGTGCCGACCGAAGATGAGGCGGAGAGAGAAAGAGCTTATTGATTTTGTATGAGACGATGAACGGCGCGAGCGAGATGGTCAGAGATAAGTTCCGCGATTCGCGCGACTCGTACGTGATCCGCACGGGGATGGCCCTCATAAGTGTCGAGCCGCTGGACGATGGTTGCCGCAGAATCCGCCATCGCCGGATCAACCTCCCACGATATCCGCGATGTATTCCCGACGTAAAAAAATTCCCATTCTTTCATCATAATATATTTAAATATCCAATTTAATTCCCATCCGTAATTTCCGTTACCGTAGATTTCTCCGATTTAAATGTCGTGAAAAGCGCGGGTCACGGATCCTCTCCGAGGACAAATTTGCTAGGATACACGCAACACCGGCACCTGAATCCTGATTTTCTTCTTTGTTCTCTTTCTTCGCGGCGACCAGCGTGACGTTCGAGCAGCGATCGCTTGTCATAAACCGCGGGTGATTACCGAGTTATTTTTAAACCTCACGGGCAAAAGGGGGCTAATTACTTTTTTATGGGCTCCCGGGGATATCGGCGCGTAACAAACTGCCAGGTTGACGACGACGCGGAGAAATTCACAACAAAGTGGGCAGGATACGCGCCCGCCGGTAAAAGGACGAAATCCGGGGAAGCACTCGCGCGCGAGGCAAGAAGGCGCGGTAAGGTGCGCATTAACTGCACGGCCCCGCGAACGGCGAGCGGCTCCCTTTGACGACGACAGCGGCCACGACGACCCTGAAGAAGCCGCGATAAAGCGCATTAATTTATCGCGTCCCTCCCCCTCCACTCTCCCCTGGGAGATCTTGCTCCGAGGTACGCGCTTGCATTGATCCAAAGAACGAGATTAGAAGCGAGCAAGCGCGTACAGCGCGATTTCTTTCCTCCTGTTCCGCCCTTTTTATTTTTTATTTATCGTTGGGTGTCGCGAGCGCGCACGCAACGATCAAGTGAAGTTGCGCTACGCACAGGTGGTGGAACCGTTGAAGTTCAATCTTGTAAGTTTTGTTGTCACGTGATAAAAATATATTTTTAGTAGAATTGTACAAAATTTCCTTGTGTAAATGAGTTTTCATATAAAATCGTTCCTGCTTATGCATGAAAATATGAATTTTGAATTGATAATAATTTGTTTTTCGTGTAACGCGTGAGGTAAGCTTCGCATTGAGATGGCATTTATGTGTGAACTTACGGCAATGACGATAAGTCGACAAAATTATTACCAAGATGAAAGCTGACGATCACATCATCGGATCGAGTATAACTTCACCATTTTCTCTCGAGTATCTTACGAATGGAGATTGAGACGCTCGTCGATAAGCGAACGCGCGGAGAAGCATCATCGCGAGAACTTATTAAGAGGATTCCGATCCGTATAAGCAATCTGAATGGGAAGGCGATCGAGAGGGGAGTCGGAGATCAGCCATGCATCGCGGACGATTCCCGAAAGGGCTTAGAATGAACCTAATAACGACGGATGAAAGAGAAAATTGAGATTTCCAACGGGGGGAAGATGGCGGTAACGACTGGACGACGGGCGGCCGAGTGAAATCAATGAGGCTAACAGGCTTGCGAGTTAGCAGTCAGCTAATTAAGTCGGCGTTATTGGATTATGGAAGCCAAGTATCGCAGCCACCCCACACGAGAATGTATCGTAGTGCACTTAGTCAGGCCGCGCTAGCACTGCGACGGTGGACGCCGCGGGGCCTGCACGACCTGTCAGACGTGTTTTAATTAGAGGTGACTCCTGAGTCGCGTGGGACAGCTTGAGAAAGAGAGGAAGAGAGATAGAGCCCGGCCTCCCTTTACGTAAGTAAAGTATTTTCGCGCACCCTTCGAAGCAGCAGTCGTCGCTTTCATCGCGCTACCAACGTGCCGCGAACGGAGCGAGAAAGGTCGCGCATACGCGAGAAATAACGAAGTCGAGGAGTGAGAAGTGCGACGGGACGAAGAGTAACTTGCGGGTTATGCAATCGGTTCCTGGAGAACGGAACGAAGTATATCGAGTTAGGCGGTGTGTTTGCGACGCGCGTCAGGTGATCCCCCTTGTTCTTTTCATTTCCTTCGTGTAAAAGAGGGGGGAATTAGATAATTGATTAAACGAGTTAAATGAGTTACAGTAGCTAGGATTTTGCTTGATAAAAATAAAAATTTATACTTTTAATCTAATATTGCGAGTTTACCGATAACTGCTTCTTTTTTAAATTCTTAATTCTAAGTTTCTAAAAGATATAAGGGAAACTATATACGGAATAGATAGCGGAGACGACAAGGAGTAAAATACTTCGCAACGTGTATATCTTTTTTTGGTTGTGGGAGGGAAAGGACAAAGTTTTATTGGAAAGAGGAGAGTGGTAATCTGATTTTGCGATTGTACAAAGAAGTACTCATGTTTCGCTTGTAAATATACCAAAACAGGTGTTATCCCGAGACAAAGCCACGGCTGCAAGAATGAAAACCACAGGTCGTTTATCTGTTGTATCGAGCCTTCTGACAACGACGTCGATGGACGACGGAACGGCGTGCGAGCGAAAGAAAGCCGAAGAAAGGTTCGAGCAAAACCGGCGCCAATTTATGCCGATCCAGAAAAGTCCAGAAAAGTATAGCGGGAAGTTAAATGTTACATGAGCTTCGGCGAAGAGAAGACCTCGGCGACAGAAGCGACGAGATTCCCAGTATCGATTAGCCCGCTGACGGAAATAACGTACAGTCGCGGCGATTTTTCGCGAGCCGAGAAGGCGAGAATCGCGACACCTCGGGCACGGAATCGACGAGCAGGTTGACGCTTTATCTGCCGAAAGCATCGATCGATGGGCGTCTGTAAAAGGGACAGGACGAACAGCAAGAAAGCACCGCAAGAAACACCGCGCAAGGTGTCCTGACGGGCGCGCTCTTCTACGCTTCACGCGTAGTTCGCAGCAGAACGCGAAAAGACTCGACGTACGCCGCTTCATTCTTTCGCAAACGTCTGCACTGAAAGTGAGACGGACTTAAATTGCACAAAAAATTGTAAACAATAAGATTTTTCTGAATGCTGAAATGGAAATAACTCGAGCAACAGAAGCGTGATAATGAATTTCTTAAGTGTTCTTAAGAAAAAGAAACTTCTGATTCTTAACAATTGAAAGTTCCAAATAAAAATTTGGAGCAACAAAGGGATTCTTTAAGTGTGAGAAATCCAATAATTTCGTATTAGCGATATCCTGAAATATCTGTGACGCATTGAAACTTCCCAAAGTTCTCAGTATTTCAAACGTTCGCGAATGTCCCCAGACTTCGATATTTTGCTGCGTCCACATCCGGTATCGTCGAAACGATACCTACTTCTTCGGCTAAAAGGCAGAGGACTGAGAACAAGCGAGGCTCGAAATTTCGAGCGAAGAATTATATTTCTTTTATAATATACTTCATATTTCATTACGTTTACAGAAGTCGCGGCTCAACAAGATCTCTCCGAATATTCCCATCGTAACGATGACGATCGTTCGCAAAGGGAAAGCAGGATATAAATATATAAACGACGCTACGCAATGCCGTAGGTGCACGTTTCTTGCACGGACATGAGAGACGCGATCGAACCAGCGAGCCACTTGTCACCGGTCCACCATGATGCTTTCCGGCGGGAGGAGTGTCGAACCCTTTTCAACTGGTCCGGTCGGACCCGACGACGTTTTCGGTCTCCTGCCCTTCCTCTCTCACTCCGTCTCCCTTTCTCCTCTCTTTTTTCTTCTACCACTACTACCGTTGCCATTTCTTCCCAGGGACTTGTGGTGCTAACATTCCGCCGTGGCAGGCCAAACAGATATCAACTTTCCCACAGCTGCTTTTTCGGGAAGCGAACGCGCGGAACGTGGCCACTGTCCTTCCTCCTCTGCGATTTCGCAGAAACGCACGAATGCCGGAAGACCCATTGATTCTTACACGTCAAGTACGACAGTAGTCACGTGGGAAATTCGGGAGACGCAACGGACCGGCGATTGTCTGTCGATGTGTCAATGATTATTTGGATGCGCCAATCCACTTGATTGGGTAATGCACTAATCACGCTTGATGGTAACTGAATTCGATGCGTGACGATTTAATTTCTAGGATATACTATTCGTTGATCTCACTGGCAGTTCAAATTTATAATAAAAAAATATATAAAATCGAGATATGATGAGAATGTAATTAAAACATACACATTCAGCGTTACATGAAAAATCTACGATAAATACCTTCTGAAGGAGAACACGGAGAATTTACAAGAGAGAAGTAGGTGCTGATTTTTCAAAAAGAAGACTCGAAGATCTTCTTAAGAAGATCAGAGATTCCGAATTCACCCCAGTTACTCGCGGTGGTTCCTCGTACATATCGCGCGGAACTTTCTCACAATGCGCGTTTCGTCGCCCCGCGGTTCTTCCTTCCTTTTAAAGATCTCGGAGTCGAGTCCAGCTCGGCCGCTTAATACGCAGAAGAGAACGGGCGATGAGAAGAGGGTGAGAAGGAGAGGCGAAAGACTGAGCGACGGAGCGAGTGACGCGGAAAGCTTTTTTCTGAAATCACAGGACCCGTCCTCGTCCTCCGCCTCCTCTTCTTCTTCCTCCTCCTCCTCCTCCTGCTCGTCGTTCACTTCTCCTTCTTCGTTGTCTCGCGGCGTGCAGTCGGGCATCAATAATTTAGCGCCCCGTCGTATCAATAAACTTGCACCGGCACCGGCGCAAAGCGAAGAGAAAGGCGAGGAAGGACGAGGCCAGGACGAAGAGCGAAGGTGCAAACGGAGAGACAGAGGCAGGAAGATCCTGGAGAGTGCCGGCAGAGGAACCGAAGGGGGAGGAACGACGCGGAGGACGGAACCGTGAACGCGTCCTCCGGTTCGAGTGGCTTTTCTTACGGCCGTTCACATATAGTCAGTGACGCGCCGTCCTCTCGCTCGAGTCGCTCTCCTTCTCGCCGACTCGATTACAAGCGGCAAGAAGCGACATTACACGGGACACGCCGCGCCGACAAATCGACAGATTATGCCGGACGGGCGCCGACCTACCGGGAATAAATGAATTGGCTAACGACGTGACTCTTTTCTTTTCTCGCCCCGCGTATATCCTGCCAGTTTCCCTACCGACTAGCCGGGAAGACAAGGTTCTAGGCAGACTCGAGGAAATTCAAGGATACGTTGACGATGAGAGCACGAATTCGCGAATTTACTTTCCGCAGGAAGAGCAAGAATGACGCACGGCTCTCAACGGTGGATAAAACTGCGACCAAAACCAATTTGATATAATATCAAAGATACTTGTTCAATGTGAAATATACAGCCAGCAAAATTAAAATTATACCGATACATCCTGCGAAGTTCAGAGAAAAGAGAACGTTTCCTTACGAAAACGATCTATGTAACCCTAATTACGCATGGAATAAAATAACTCAGTTGCCGCAACAGAGTAGGAATCAGATGAGAACTCGGTGACACGAAATGGAAACTCAGCGACGAAAATTGATATCTGTGTTACCGCGACTGAGAACATTCCTGTGAATATTCAGCAGCATTAAAACTCGGCTGAGACAGCTGAGAACAATTGATTGAGTAGAAACCTCCTATAGGAATCTCTCTGTTCCTACAACCAAATTTTCGTCGTCCCCAAGCAACGGAAAATTCCTTTATACCAACGGAATTATTTTTCCCGTACGGGTTGCGCTGATTACATCCAAGACCGGACGATAATTCTATTAGAAACGGCATGCTTTCTAGAAGCTTATCAACTGCGCCCTTACGAACCGAGAGAAAAATGGAAGCAATCGGAATAACTCATAAGTGGATTACGATGAAGCCTACGCAATGAGGAAAGTACTTAAGAACAGATAAATTCATCGAAAGAGAGAGAAACCCGTCCACGGTTTTCCATCTTCCGAGGGTGTTTATTATCTTAACGGGCGAGTAAAAAATATCTACCGCATGATTCTGCGTTGTTGTGCACGTGCTTGAAACAGTTTTATGTAATCCGCGGACCGCGACGAGTGAGATAGATATCCACTTACAACGTTCTTGTAGCCCTACAAGTTTTGACGTTCACGTGTGCGACGAATAAATAGCAAACTAAATTTAGTCGGCCATGTTTCGAAGGAAATGTAGATGTTTGCTTGTTCGCTTGCATAAATTAAAATTTGCACCTTGACACATAAGATGATCAACATAGGTACATAGTGCAGAATTAAAAAATTCAAATGCTGCCGTGACACTGACGACGGATCATAGATCACAACACACAGCACAAAACATTTTGTACTTGTGGTGAATCGGTCTTTGTTAAACAAAATTTGTGTTAAATTTTTAACATACTCATGTGTTAATTTAATATATTGTGTTTATGTCACCTCAGTATTTTATGTTAAATCAATATTTAACATTTGTAAGTATTAAAATAATACATTTTATGCTTCGGTGTTGATTAAAATATTATGGGTATTAATTTTGTGTTAATTTTGGCATTATACTTGTATTACTTTTTAACATATTCATCTTATGTTAAATTAATACAAAAATTTGTGTAGAAATATGTTAATATGTTAAATTTAACACAAAACTTTTCACTATGCAACGACAATTGACTAAATAAAATAATTTGTTTCCATTGAATGCAGTAAAACTAAATTTAATGCAAAAATTATATTTTGTCTGATTTAATGCAATAATTTATCCTCATTTGAACGAAACTCACGTATTTATCTGGCACGAAGGTAATAGATTTACTTATAGCTGTTGACAGTTTTGGCTATCGTGTGACAAGTTAAGAAAGAAGCATGCGTGTAAAAATTTCAGCAAATTCGTCTTAGCCCCTCGAGCAGAAAGAATGTGATTAAATCTCGACGCAAGGGTTTAGTGTAATTCGATTAAAACGTACAGCCGATAAATAGGCAGGGATGCGAGTCAGGTTCATGGCGGAAGACGCCCCTCCGATCCTTTCTTCGCTCCGTCCTTCTCCGGCAACGCCCGCCGAAGCTTTCAGGAAGCAAGCTACTAATTAACGATTTCCTCTCGTTCACGGGGTACTCGAGAGGGAATATAATTAGCACTCACCTTTGTGAGCCGGGGCGCTGCTAAAACACTCGATCGGCCGATCCTGACGTCTCTTAAAATATTCCAAGAGCGTCCGAAGAGTCATCCTCGATCTCGTGCGACTTGATCACGGGGGGAAAGGCGTCGATCGAGATTTTTCGAGAATGCGAAGGCATACTTCTTCATCGTCCATGCACACGTTCACAAACACTCGTCGACTGAAAAGGAAAAAAATATTAATTCATTCATCGAAGTATCGTGGAACTTAATACAATTTGCTATATTTGTTATTATGTCGCTATTTTTTAATTAAAGTAAATCGATGCGCGTAAATCATCTTTTCGAATTAATAAATAATATGTTGTCGAGATCTGCTTTTTAAACATTTTTCACACCAAGTATTTTTATTATTGTTGATTATTATTACGTATTAATAAAAAATAATGTTTGCAATTGTGTTTCGGACTCAATTGCTATACATTTCAGGCGGTAGACATTGTCTACTCGCAAGATGAACGATTCCGGCTACGGAAGACGTAGAATGAGCAACGATCGGCGTGGTAACGTACGAGATGAAGAGGAGAACATGGATAATCGAAGCAAGAATCAGGACACGAGGCCTGCGACTCTTAAACGGTTGGATAGCATTCAGGATCCGGGGAAGAGGTACGCGTTGAAGGATCGCATCGGTGACGGCGTATTCGGCGAAGTCTACGAGGGAATCGATCAGCAAGCTGGTACGTAACGAGAGAATATATGTGCAGACCAATCCTATTTTAAATACCGTAGCGTTGTCGTACGTAGCAGTGAGGAACGGTCACATTCGTCTCGATTATGTGTGTCGGCGTGTGTGTGTTTCAGGAAATAAAAAGGTTGCCATTAAGATCCAAAGGTTCACGCCGGAATCACAGTCTTTAATCATGGAGGAGTATCGTATTCTTCGTGACTTCGCCGGCCATCCGAATCTACCAGACTTTTACGGGATATATCGCAGACGATCCTCGAAGAAGTCCGAATACGACGAGATATGGTTCGTCATGGAGGTAAGTTTTAGTCAAGGTCGCAATTAAACTATAAAAAGTCCTCTCGCGCGAATGTAGTTCGATATAATGATTATTTGAATCGCATGTTCTTATCGTTCGATCGCTTTTTCTACATTTATCACTTTTATCCAACTTCTCTCTTTATTAAGATTTTAACATTAAGATTTACTTCTCTCTTTATTAAGTCTAGTATTGCACACATTGTTCTCTTCAGCTTCTGCGAAAGTTAGTCACTAGAATATACTTGTCTAATTAGTATAACTCACAATATGCATACTCGATCACACAAAGAACGATTTAGTGAACCGAGAATAAACATTTGTGCTTATGTGGATCGGCGGCTCGATTAACTCAAAGACGCGTTATTATTGTTGCAATCACTGTGATTACTGTATCGAAGATTGGATTCGTAGCGAAGTTTCTATCGATACCGCGCGATGTATCCATAATGCACTGCTTGTATCGTCGTAATTCTTTACGAAAGAAAGAGAGAGAGAGAGAGAGAGAGAGGAAAAAGAAAAAGGACACAAGACAAAGATGCAAAACGAAAGACGCAGGCAGAAAGAAGGAGACCGAGAAGGAGAGGGAGAGAAAGCGAGGCCAGAAGCGAGGGTTGCTCGTGTGTGTACCCGCTCAGGACCCGGAGGCAATTTCAAGCATTTGAGACCGTCGAATACACGGATAATTTACGACACGCGCGCCCCCATTAAACAATCATTAAACTCGTTCGTGTACGCAGGTGAGGCCTGGCACGTCGCGGCCCTAATTTACGGACGGACCTCCGCGGTGCGCGCCCGAAACATTATTACTTATCTCGGGTAAAGCGACGATAGTTGACGTAATACGCGCACTCGAAGATCGACCGACTTATCTTCGGCATCGGCATCTTCTCGGCCACGCCTTTATCTTTCGAAACGCATCGCTGCACCGAACGCTTCACGAAGCCGACCGCATCGAATTCGGCTGCGTCAACTTTCTACGAGATTTACTCGACCTCACAGTGAGATACCGCGTGCTCACACCGATATCCGAAGAATTACGTTGCCGCAATAAAAGACGAGGTATTTTTAAAAGATCGAGCACTGCACCGAGAAAGTGCATTTCCTATCATATTTGTTTAATGTAACATAGGTGCAATCGTTGTTTTCTTCTTTTCGAAATTTCGATACTTCAACTCGCGAATATCCCTCGCACGCTATGTAATATCAAACAAAAAAGAAAAAAGTGCTGCCGTTTAAATAATATTTCTTTGATATAAGTAAAATGGTTATTTCAGTTACATATATTTTAGAAAATACTTACTAGAAGTAAAAATATAACAAATTGACCATGTATATTTTTCTTCGTATAAGTAGAAATTTGTATGTATACGTTAAAAAAATTACGACAAGTATTAAATTCATAATATTGAGAATATAAGAATTTATTTTTAGAAAATAATTACTGGATGGAAAAATGTAAATTTAAAATTACTAAGTTTTTTAAAATTACTAAGTATTAATTCGGTATACGTTCAAGCAAGTATTTATACTCTCCTCTAGCTACAAGCTATTAAAATACATTTAAATTGATAAAGACATTATTCGATTTAAGAGGATGAAAAACACGTAATTACGTTTACTTGATTCTGGCACTTTTTCCCGGCACACAATTATGCCGCTGACAAATCTCGTTTGTCGCGTATCATTATCGCACACTCGACACCTACTTTGATCGCTTTCGCGAGAGCCACGTGCATTCTTCAACACTGACCACCCGCATTCTCGGTCGGTCTGACCCACGGCAAGTCTCTCGCGCAAATTCAAAGGCGAACCACGCGCGCGAACACGCCGAAAAACGACGAGATCGGCCATGGATCTCACGATCCACTTTGGCGAGCGAACTCGCGTGCGAGCCCTCGGGGCCTAAGTACTCCGCGACGAAGAAACGTAATGAGTCGCCGGTCACTAACGTTAAGTTCGTTGATTGCTCTTTGCTCGGAGATTACAAGCAATAAAGGCGCAACGACGGTTCGCGAATGTGCGCCGATGTGTGCAAGGCGAGCGGCGGCAGGAGGGAGAAGACGCGACGCCCATCTTCGTCGACGGTGCCAGCGGCCACCGAATAGCAGTTTTGTGAGTCAATCGACCTTAAGTCGGCGCGAGCAGAAACGAACATCGCGAATCGCGAGAGCGAGCGAGCGAGTGAAAGAAAGAGAGAGAGAGAGAGGGAGGAAGAAGGAGAACGGAACACGCAGCGACAATGTAGTAAGGATTTATCGCCGGTGGTATTTCATATCGAGCGGGTTTTACGGGCGCGTACGTAGTGGGGCCCTCGGTAGGGTCTCTCACGACGTGCGCAGGGCCGCTATGAAAGGCTCTCTCTTCCTGTGCGCTTGGTGCACGGTAGTACACGAGCGCACCGAGTCCGTCCGCATCGCGTGCGGCATATCCGAGAGAAAGAGGCTCCACGTCTCGTAGCGTGGAACGTACGGGCGGAATGCTATTCGCGATTAACTCTAACGCGCCGACCAACGGTGCCGTGTTTTAAGAGCGCACCGTGAGCTAATAAAACAGGAGCTTCTTTAGACTGTAGCTGGCGATATTCTGTGTGAACGCGATTCTGTACGGCGAGCAACAGTCGATCCGATCGTTCGATCAAGAAACTGCGCGTCGACATGAACGGAACGCGAGATTGGGAAAAGCGTGTATTACATTAAGGACTTGGGAAAGAGTGCCTGTGTGTGACGACGCGCGGTTCACACGAGGAGCCGTATTCCGCGGTAACGCGTGGACGAGGCGCTCGATCACGTTTACTCAAGATTACGGCACGTTTCGTGTAATTGTAGACATACGGAGTTTATTACGCTTCGAGCATAAATTCTGCTGGCAGTGCTTAATATCTGGAGATACCCGTCCGCGAGAGTGGTCTTTTCCCGAGTAAATTAACCTTTGCGCGCGAAATCAAACGGATGACTAGGAAGGAGTGGCGAGAAATACTAGTAACGGAAGTTACAAGAGAAAAGTCGTTGGAAAAAACGTGTTAAAGATAACGCCCGAAATTATGTAAGAAGAATCATCTTGGAAATATTACAATGAAAGAGAAACCGATAAAAGAGAAGAGAGATTCCGACCGCTTCCATCATTAGGATGATATTTTAATTAGTGTATGCGATTTTCATTGCACACCGCAGATTACGCCGGAAAAAAATTGATACTTATTGCAGAATTCTCGTCGTAACGAGCCGTGAATCTCGCCCGTCGCGTTTGTAACGAACCCAAGTCCATAACTCTGCCGTTAAATCATCTCGTTTCGTTGCGTTTTACAGCTCGATTTACCACTGTAATTAACTAAAATCCTGACGTTGCGTGTTGCAGCTGTGCGAAGGTGGGACGGTCATCGATCTGGTCCGCGGGATGATCGCGAGTGACAAGAGAATGCGGGAGGAGCACATCGCCTTCATCTTGAGAGAAGTGATCAAGGTAAGCCCAGTCATGGGGAACGCAGCGGTAATCATTTCGCTCGACGATATCGCCGAAATGAGAATTCACGAGACGTGAAAGTTAAGGCGACTCGACGACCCTCGAAATATAGACCTTCGAGGAAACGCGCGTGTAATACGACAGGGATTAAAATTAATTAACAGAGATACACGACACGGCCGAGATAGCCGAGGTGAGAGGCGCGTCTCATGAGACGATCAATTATATATCGTCGATCGTTATATCGCGAAAATATCCGGCCGGCCCGAAAACACGTGAGCCCGACCGAGGTAATTAGTTTTTGTGCCGGCGCACGGGAAGATATATACGTCAGCGGCCGAGAAGGATGGCCGTCGCGGAATGTCCGGCAAAATTGTGCCGCAATCTACCCTCTCTCGCCGCACCTCTCGCCACCCCACTTGATTCAGAGTGTAATAAATATTACCCGCGTGGGGGCAGAGTGGTACCGGTGAACCGACAGAAATGATAATAGCTGGTAGGCGACGGCGATAGTCGCGTTATTACGATATAATTATGCCCGATGGTATGTCCCGGCGATGCTTTTATCTCGCGGCACATTATCCCGCTGATTGCAGAAGATGCATCGGCGCCGAAACGAATCCGCGTTGTGCAATTAAGAGGCGCGGAAAAACCGAGCGCATTCAGCGACCGGCCGTGCAAAAACGCGTCTCACTTATAATTATGATAGTCGCACGTCAAGCGGCTGGAATTCGAAAGGAAATATCGAGGGGCTCTCTCGCCTTTCGGTGGAGGTACTGAAAACTGTCGGAATATCTGTCGCGTGGTAATTGATACGATCGCGTGTAAAAACAGCGCGCCGGAAAACAACGCGAGTTTGCTGAAATGCGCAAATTCGATCTGTACGAAACGGGGCAGGAAGAACAATCGCGTTCATAAAATATACCCGATGTTACGTTAGAAATGATCTCGAGCACAATCGAAATTGTAAAACCTGATTCACGTTCGAAGAAGCTGTTTTGATTTCATTTGATTTACAACTTATGAAAAAGAGCCTCGATGTATTCGATCTTTTGAAAAGATATTTCCATTTTAGACGGTTTACTTTACGCGTTCTCGATCTAATCTAACTTACAGACATAACTGAATGGAACTCGGCTTATAAATAGAACGTGTAAATTACAAGGACCGACGGAAGGTGCACGCCGATAGGTCGCATTCTCCGGCGTAGAAATTACAAATAAGACAGGTGAGATGCAGCTCGCTAATTAACCTTCTCGCGTATGAGAAGCTGCCCCTTGATGATCCTCTCACTCATACAACCACCTCGGCATCCACTCAAGATCAAGAGCACGAAGAGCACTCGCTGCCTCGTTCTCTCCTCGCTTACATCTGTATTTTCGTTAGGGACGCGCGCAGCCAACAGCTGATTGCGAGCGACATTACCGACCGCGTCCTGGCGCGAAGTTGCCGACGCGTAACTCGAATTGCTCGTACGCTCGACATACGTCACGCAATATGTCGCCCTAACCCCGTACACATGCACGCACACACGACACACGCGTTCAGACGCGTCTGTAACCTTCAGTGCGCGATTATTTGAGCTCAAAGCCATAATTAGAGAAGGCAGAAGTGGCGCAGGATGATTGGAGGATAAGATGAATAGTAATTCAATCACTCACCGCCACAAATCGCCGTCGATGCCGCCGTCGACCGTTACATTGCCCCGGACACTCGTTATTGCACTTACTTATTACTCGCGTACCGGATACTCACTTATTACTCAGTCAGTGCACGAATGCATATTGATCGGATATAACGCGACTGATCACGATTCTGCGTGCTGGCGGTATACGGCGATCGCTCATCATTCCACATCGAGCCGGTTAAGACGCGCCGCGAGACTAAACAGAACTAACGTGATTCGTGTACCGGCGTGAAGTTGTCGCCGCGTAACTCGAAATTTCGAATATGGCTTGCGGGTACAGTCGTGGACAGAAGGATTGTCCCAATCTCGAGGCATAATATCGGAAAGTTCCAATTAAGTCGGCTCCACACGATGTGGCAAATGTAAGCAAACGTAAGCGAACCTTAGCAATTATATTGATCACATATGTTGGGCGAATGTAACATACGTGATAATATATAAAAAATGTAATATAACATAAATAACTTGATATAATACATGTGATCGATATAATTTCCGACGTTGGCTTACATTTGCTACATTGTGTGAAGCCTGCTTTAGGCGCATCATTTTCGAATATACGTGCATCATAACTGCTACTTTGGAATATGCATGGAAAAAAATTAATTAAAAAAATTAATCTTAAATCAAGAGCAGATATTCTTGTGTATAAGCAAGAATATTATAATTTTCTTAGAAGACTTTTAGTCTTGAATTGAATTTAAGTAACTTTCATCAATATAAATCCAATCAAATCAAGACTAAAAGTCTTCTATGAAGATTATGATATTCTTGCTTACATATGAAAGTAGCTTCTTGATTTAAGACCAATTTTTTTTCCGTGTGCCGATTCACGGAATAATCAGCAGTATGCACGTATATCTAGAATGATATTCCAAATTCGAAATTTCTTATATCACTTTGCCTAGGAAATATTTAGAGACAACTGTCTTTGCCCGCGACTGTACGGAAGAACAGCTTCGCTTCACCGTTTATTAGAATATTTTCCGATTTCGATTCCGATTTCCGATTACAATATTTTCTACTGCGCAATTACGATGTTGATTTGTACGCGCAGAATAGTGTCGGTAAATTGCAATCGTCTACATATAACCAGTTTTTATTATTCAGGAGCATTTTATACGAATGTAATATCTCGTACATCTTCTAACACAGACGATACACACATGAAGCAGGTTTAACTTCGACTTCGTGAATTTAAATTAATCATTTTATTGTAATAATTATGTACTTGAGTCGATGCTCCGATCGAAACTTTATGTGTGCACGAGTAAATTAATGAACTCGAAAGATGATACCGCCGCGTCATTTACCGTAATAAGACGGGCAAACTCAACGAATCAGGGAAGTTCATATCCAGTGCGTGAACATTCGTTTTTTTCGCTTTAATCATTATTAGCATTAACGGGGCAATGCGATTAACGTCGCGATAAATTTCAACGGCCGCATTAATTGAATATTACCCTTGTTTACGACGAATCGTAAAACGTAAGCCGTGCCGTTAATTTTTCCGCGAGTTTCGAGAAAAGATGAGAACTGGCGTGCAGCAAGTACGAAGCGAGTCGGAAGCGGATGACGCGAACGAGGCGAGCTAATGTAAGACAAATGCCCGAGCAAGAAAAACGAAAGCGATGGAGAAGACGAAGAGGCAGCGAAAAGAGAGAAGGTCAAGGTGGAGAGCATGATACGAAGAGAGAGAGAGAGAGAGAAAGAGATAGCTAAACGCCCTTCCATTTCGTAGTCCGCTGCGATTTTAGCTTAATAGTTAATAGTCACGGCAGACGGATTCGCTTATTTACAATGATACAACCTCCCATGATTCCGGCCTCTCCTAGGAGGTCGGATAATTGGCGAGGATATCGTGCTCATTTCTCAACGGAGCTAAGAAGCAGCCCCGCACACGATGTCCACGTGTGCTCACGTGTGCGTTCATGAAGAGGGAAAAATGAAGACGAGAATCTCGAAAAAAGCGAATGGTCGAGGCACGCCACAGGATGAAACCTAAGTGACCGTTTCCGCTTCGATTCGTGTGTCACTGATTTTCCCTTCATAATGCTCGCCGCGTTTCTTACCTGTCCCTTTATCTGCTATCACTCGTATATACCCGGAGCGGAACTAATCCCGGGGCTATAATAAGGGTCGCGCGCTGCCAGACCGCGATTGTACGATACGGTAGATCGAAATAATTGTAGACTTCTAACGACAACGTTACTTGTTACTGCGCACTCCCTTGTATTACCATAAAATCGTAAAAGTCGTCCATCCGACGATTCGCTCTCTCGAAATTTATTCATAGGATCAGGTTTTGCATTTTCTGCTTTAATTTGTGGTTTAGGCTTAATTTGATGATAATGTAAAAATCATCTTTTTCTATTCACGGTTAATCATTAAACTTTAAAAGTTGCCATTACAAAACTATCAATTTAATGATTAACCATGAAAGAGGAGAAAATTTTCCGACGTTTTGTCTCTTTTTCAGTTCTGCCAAAGGTATGCTGAGTCTGTCTTATATGTCTAAGGATTTATTCCACCCTTTCTCTCTCTCTCTCTCTCCTTCCCTTTCTCTTTTTCTCTCGAGTCTAGCCCAAAGTTTATGTACTCTGTCGCTAATGAACCTCCGTCCCGCTCGAATCTCGATATTCCCCTCGAAATCCACTTATCCCGCCGCAGAGGTCCCCGAGGGAGCGCGGCGAAAGGGCACGACGTGCGTAATGGGCCCGGCATTCTTTCTGCCGCGAGTGGCTCATGGCTCACGGCGATAATATTTACGATCCGGGCAGTTTGTCACTAAATCATTATGTGGGTCCAGCATTGGGGTATGCTTCGTGCACGCATAATCCGACGCCCTTCGCCACCGAAGGGGCCCGGGGCTCCCCGCCGGCCTCCCAGGGCTGCCCACGCCGCGTCTCCACCTTGAAAACTGCACGCAACCCCCGTCTCCCGCTTTCCTTCCTTTACTCACCTCTCCCCCGTCTGCCCCTTATCCTAGTGGATACGTGTTCCACGAGCCCGGTAGCGATTCGTCCACGGTCACTCGTGCGGTAAATCAGACCACGCTGACGTTTAATGCCGGCAAATTATACGCGAAATAAATGCCCGCGAAGAGCGGTGCGCGCGCGCGACGAACGCGCAGAGCTCGAAACAGAAACACAAAGAGAGCACGGGAAAGAGATAAGGAACGAGAGACGAATGGAGGCTACCGCTGAGCTTCTTCCTCTTCTTCTGCGTGACCGTTACATCCCGTTGGATCTTTATCCGCCAATTAAGAATTCGCTCGGCCCTCGAGTTTCCCTGCCTGCCGGGTTTCTTGCGCGTCATCCGGTCAATGAGGAGGCTTCGTTAGCGATTCTTCGCTTTTGCGTCTCATTCTCGAAGTGGAAGATCGTCGATTACGCTGTCTGACAAAATATTTATTTAAGGACCGTTCAACAATCATGTTACGGGGGGGGGAAGGGAGGTCTATTAGCTTGCGTGACGTCAGTTTGTTTGCATTCGTGACACGTTTGGCGAAAATTTTTAAGTTTCGGCATGGTTCTGTGTTAATAATTATTATCCACAATATTGTTATAAGCCATTTTATTAACTTATGTATCGGCGGGAGGGAAGAGAATAATTCCACATGTCACGTAATATTGAAAGAAGATAACTACTTTATGACGAAATACAATGACAAAGGGGAGCAGAGGTAAACAAATATCCAAATTTAGCGTGATGTAATTGTTGAACGGCCTCTTATTGTGCCATGTTGCTGTTATGGAAACACAATCACTACCTATATATTGCTATCGCTCCGGTAGTGAAGTCGCCTAGCTGGACACAATCAGGAAATTGAAGAAATATGCATTTACATTAAAATGAGAAGAAACATTACAATATTTGTTTTTTTTTTATTGAAAATTAGTCGATGAATTCGCTAGAGATGGAGAAAGGAGTTCGTTAAACGCGAGTTACGAATTTGCTAAAGATCAATGAGAAATGTTTCGTTTACGATTGGCAATTTTAAAAGAGAACGGCGCCGGAGTGCGGAATACCCTTTGAAACGTGGCTCTCCGATGAGCCGGGTATTAATGATTTCATGCTCATGCCACACGAACGGAGCCGCTCGCTGACCCGCGCTTGTTACGCGCCGTGAGCACGGTCGGCCGCAAATTATAGATCGTTCAATTTGCAGTAAATCTATAAAGACGATTCTCTCAAGACGCTGAAGGTGCCGAGTTAGCAACTTCTCTTCCGCATCGTTCGTGTCTCGCGTATATGTTCCATTGCGCGTTATTCTAGCTCGAGTTCGTTCGCATGAGTCCAGAGTCCGCGAGAACTCGGCATAATCTTTATAATGCACTTGACAATGTACTTCCTGCTTGTCAACTTCAGAATCGAGCCAGTTAACTTCATCCAACCGCCAAATCGACACGATAATAACGAGAGTTCTCTGTGGAGACATTTTCAATTCAACCACTGTTTTAACATACTTCGCCCCCTCCTTCAAGCACTGACGACAGCAACGAAAAACGAATAAAAGGGCTAGAATAAAAAGAATCCGAGGCTCTAAAATCGATACGATCGATGTTTAAGATTGGAAAGACTATAAGAGTTGGACACAAAATGTTGTTTCTCTTTAAAGTAGTCATATATTGAAATGAATAACAATCGTTTCGGTCTTTTTTAGACCCCTATCAATGTAAAATTATGTTTTCGAGTTCTCATCACAACAACACCAACGACAGCTTCTTGATTTCGCAAAGCAGTTCTCTCGACGTATTTCTATCTTCGTCCAGGCTTTGATCCACCTGCACGAGCACAACGTCATCCACAGAGACATCTGTGGCAGCAACATCGTCCTGACGAAGGAAGGCGACGTGAAGCTGGTGGACTTCGGGCTCTCTAAGACGATGAAGAACGAGCTGGAGAGGCGACACACTTGCATAGGGTCGCCGTCCTGGATGGCGCCGGAGGTCGTCGCCGGCAAGGGCAACAGGGCCGACGGCGGATACGACAGCCGGATCGACGTATGGGCGATCGGCATCACGGCGATAGAGCTGGCCGACGGCAAGCCGCCCTTCCAAGACATGCATCCGACGCGAGCGCTCTTCCAGATCGTCCGGAATCCGCCGCCGACGCTCTACCGGCCAGCCAACTGGTCGGAGAATCTCAACGACTTCATCTCGGAGTACGTGACCCCGGCCAGATATGAAAATCTCTTACTCTTTATCGCGAGGAAAGCGACGCGACAGCTCACACCGCCATCATGTTTCGTTTCAGATGCCTCGAGAAGAATCCCGAGAACAGACCGTGCATGATGGAAATCATGGATCATCCCTTCTTGTCGGAGCTGCCTAAGAACGATTACCCGGTAATCTGTGATTTTTCAGGAGGACGAGTTTACGGATAAATGGCGACAGATCGTTGCGCGGTAATACGAAAAGAGATTGCCTGCAGCTTCTGGATTCGCCAGGGCTCTAGAAATATGCGGTTTCTTAAATAATAATAATAATAATAATAATCTTACGGGAAAAACCTTTTATAGGATACATAAAAGAAGAACTAGTCGCTGATTGATTACTAGTATTACAGAGTATTTGAATGAAATTAAAATCAAGATTATGTGAAGACAGAATAAATAAATAATATATAAGGCGTCATGAATAATTCATATTTAGAATGAAATTAAGATAATGTGGATATTCATAAAATGGCGCGCACACAAGATTGTTCTTGGTTGAAATTATAACATGATAAGCAAAAAGGAAGTTCATGATTGGTTCAAATTGATAAAAATCATAAAACGTCATTTGTTAATTGTAAATTTCCAGCAACGTCTTAGATAAATAGCCTCCATATCACTTTACTTTCGGTGTCCGCAAATACCTTATTTAGTCGGCGTAAATTCCTATTTATGAACGTCAAAATTACAAGAACACACAACGTGGATTTTCAGTTGACGCAGGAGATTAAAACGCTGGCGATGGACGTCTCGGGAAAGGGCAGAGAAGAAAGGAAAATGGAGTCGATCGTTCATGAAAGCTTCTTGAAGGTAGTGACGAAAAAAAAACAACGAGATAAATTGTTGACCGACAATGCGTTGTTGAATGAGAGACTCCCTCTGCTCGACAGACTCGTCAAGACGAACCACAGGAGCATATGCTTACGGAAGATCTCGCGGCGCTCGACATCCTGACGGAAAACGTGATCCTGAATGAACTTAACGAAAGATTACAGCGGGGCAAATACCACACATTCGTCGGAGACGTTCTATTGATACTCAACCCAAACGAGGAACATGATATCTATAGCGCTATGGTGAATCTCACGTTAGCTCACGAGACAACGTCGATATTGAAGATCACGGCAAATTAGCAGAATGATTATAAATAGTTTCGTCGATCTTCAATGCGAAAAATTATAGCAATCTCTTTGCTTCTGATCTGTTCGTAAATTTTATGTGAAATCATATTTACACAGTAAAAAATTTTGCGTTAAAAATAGTCCACTAAAATTTTGTGTCACTTTAACACATTCACTTTGTCAGCATGTTATATTTGTGTACTTTTTAACGCATTCCTCACATTAAAGTAACACAAAATTTCAATGGGCCATTTAACACGAAATTTTTTACTCTGTAGACGTAAGAGAAGGAAACGAAAGACGTAAGAGTAAAAAAAGAGTAAAACTTAGTAAACTGTCAACATGCTTCATAACGAGACTGCAATAATTTTACATCATTATGAGCATAATTTAATTAAATTGTGACGAATAATTAAATATGATTTTAATTGGAGCATCACGCGAAGTATCAATGCAAGTCGCGATCGGACAATGCTCCGCATATCTATTCCGTAGCGGACAGCACATTCCAGGATGTGATGCATAACGAAGAACCGCAACACATTTTATTAGCCGGTGAGAGCAATTCCGGGAAAACCACGAATATGCTGCATCTGGTGGAGCACCTCACGTTCCTCGGGAAAGTGAGTTCATCGCGCGCGTTCGGCGACGTAGACGATAGAATCACGAGAAGACCTGTTCGCAAACCCCTTTTTTTTCTTTCAGGGCATGCAAGACACCGGAAAGAGAATAATGCGATCTATAAGAATAATTCAAGCGTTCACGAACGCGTCGACACCGCTGAACGCCAACTCTACCAGATGCATCTTACAGGTGCAGACGACCTTCGGCTCGACCGGCAAAGTGTCGGGCGCGATATTCTGGTTATATCAGTTGGAAAAGTGGCGTGTCTCCACTCGCGACAGGTACTTATCGATAAGCCTATTTTTATCATACTAATGTATCGAAGATTATTAATAAATCGCTCAATAACCGAAGTATTGAGCGCCAAAAGATACGCCGCATTCTATTCTTCGATGTATAACAGGTTGTCTCTATATAGGCGTGTAGACTGGTAACCGTTCTTTACGATCAGCTTATTACACAGCACAAGAAATTAGGAAATAATTAATTAAACAATAATATTAAAAATAATGAAAATAATAAATTCAAGAGATGTAATAGAATAATAATATCAAACAATATAAGATGAAAAAAAATAGTAAAAAGAAAGAATAATAACTTGAAACTGCGCGTTACAATATTTCATATAATAATTATTAATTATTTTTCTAGGAATCAGTCAAATTTCCACGCCTTTTATTATTTCTACGACGGCCTCCAGGCGTCGGGGAAATTAAATATATATAACCTACCAAGCGGAAGAAGGCTTCGATACCTCAAAATAACCGACAAGAGCACCGAGAAGAAACGAGCGTTCAAAATACGAAACGATCCGCAGAATAACGCACTCAAATTCGAGGAACTTATGGAGGATCTCAAATTTATGGATATGGAAGATCAGTGCGAGACAATTTGGAAAGTCCTCGCAGCTATCCTGATTCTTGGAGAAATTCGATTCGTCGAGGGCAATAACGGGGAAGCTGAATTGGACAACGATGAAGCTGCTGACACAGGTAAACAATCAAATCCGAAAATTCTCAATATTACCAGGCATTTCCCAGAATCTATCTGATCTGTAAACGTAAGAGGATCAATGAGTTGCTGTTTCAAATTACAGTGGCGGAGCTTCTTGGTCTAGACCCGAAAAAATTTATTTGGGCTCTCGTTAATTACTGCTTAATCGTGAAAAGATCGGCAATGCGCAGGAAGCACACTTGGGAAGAAGCGAAGGAAGCACGAGACGTTTTGGCAAATACTCTTTACCAACGTTTGGTGGACTGGATAGTCAATAACATTAATTATAAGCTCGCGATGACTCGTAGCCTTTAGTAAGTTACACGGAAATTTTTGAAAGTCGCACATTGAGTAAAAAAGGATAAGTCCCGAGATAGATGTTCAGCAATCTCTTCTTAATTTTTCTAATTCAAATTTCCAGTGGCGATAAATATTCCATCAGCATTCTCGATCTCTTCGGGTTCGAATGTTTCTCGGTGAATCGACTGGAACAGCTGATAGTGAATACGATGAACGAGCAAATGCAATACCATTACAATCAAAGAGTATTCGCCTGGGAAATGGTAAGTCCTTCACGGAGATGACACCGTTAAACTCTGCAACACGTCTTTTTAGTAAAATTGACGAAGAAATTTGCAAAATATCTTCATTTCTCACTTACCGTGGCTTCAGCAAGAGCAGGATGAAGAAGACGTACCCATGCAACGCTTGCGCTTCTACGACAACAAGGAAGCGATCGATCAATTGATGAGCAAGGAGAACGGCCTCTTTCATATCATCGACGACGCTTCGCGGCAACTGCAGGATGCTCAGTACATCCTCGAGAGGATCAGAGAGCGTAAGCGTGGTATCTACGTGAAACCGGTGGGCTCGCACGAGTTCACAGTCGCCCATTACACCGGAAAACTGGTATATGACGCCAGAGAGATCGCCAGCAAGAATCGGGATTTCGTGCCGCCGGAGATGATCGGCATGATGAGATTCTCGTCGTGCGATGCGGTCAAGCAGATGTTCACCAATAAACTCACCAAGTCGGGCAACCTGACGATCGTTCAGGAACATTGCGCCACGATGGAAGAAACGTCGAGGAACAAGTGGAGTGCTCTCATACAGGAATGTTCGAAGTTTCGAGTAGGTGACTACGATGATTATATGCGAAATCGCATTCCCAATTAGAATAGTTGATAGCTCTTGAGCTTCAGCAAAGAATTATTTGACCTTCTAAATTACTTTTAACTGACATTTCCTTAAGCGATATTTCAAGGCGCCGATAGTTTCGAAGTTAGAAATATTTTGTCTTGTTTTTCCTTCAAACCCAACAGAGATACAATACTGCGTCCAGGGGACAATACTCGCAGACGCGAAAGATGCGAACGTGCACGTCGATATTCAGAGCTACGAGTCTCGAGATCCTGAAGAATCTCGCGGTGGGCGCAGGAAGTGGTGGTATGCATTTCGTTAAATGCATTCGCTCCGATCTCGAGGACACTCCTCGTGGTTTCTATCAAGATGTCGTCAAACAGCAGATCAGAGCGTTAGCGGTTCTGGATACAGCGAAAGCTAGGCAACGCGGTTATCCCTGTAGGATATCCTTTCAAGAATTCCTCCGAAGGTATTTTAATGCGGGAGTAACGATCGAATCGAACGTGTTACGGCGAGTTACGGAAACATTTCACCGGCTTCGGCGTTAAGCTCACGCACGGACGATTGTTTCTAATTGCAGGTACAAGTTTCTAGCCTTCGATTTCAACGAGACAGTCGAGATGACGAAAGACAACTGCCGGCTGCTTTTGATCAGGTTGAAGATGGAGGGCTGGATCATCGGTAAGACTAAGGTCTTCTTAAAGTACTACAACGAGGAGTATCTGTCGCGTTTGTACGAGACGCAAGTGAGGAAGATCGTAAAAGTGCAGTGTATGATGCGCGCCTTCCTGGCGCGCAAGAACATCGCCTCGAAGATCACCAACATTAAGAAGGAAATCGGTGAGCAAATATGTAATCGAACTGACGACGAAATTGCCCCGCTATTTATTCGTGTCTCGATATTACGTGTATACTCGCGATTTCAATGCTCCTGTAAGTCGTTCAGCGTTTCGATTGCATTGCTTCAGTGAAAAAAACGTCGATCAAGAGGAAAAATTCGATGCTCACGAAGGATGAAGCGGCACTGATGATACAGAAAGGTGGGTGACTAAAAGCAACATTCATCGTATGATTTGAGTTTTACCCAATCTTCGCAACGATGCATTCTTGACGATAAATAATTCCCGACATTCACGACGATCGCGTATTTTCGAGATCAAACTACGAATCACACTTTGTTCCGAATTGTAGGGATTCTTAATTTTTTTTAGAAAAGGCGATTCAATAAAATCGGGATTAAATAAAAGTCTCTTATATACTAAGAGTATTATACAGGATACAGGGTGTATTATCTTTGAATAATAGAAGAATGCTAACGGATTTTTTATTTCTGTTTAAAATATTGAGAAGTCTGGTTGATTGTCCTGAATTATTGAAGGGCACTCGCATTTAATATTCCCATTGGGCCTTTTAGAAGATATCCATTTCTTCCATGTTAAATTGCACCGTACATCTTATGGTGAATTTAAACCAATCAATAGATTATGCTTGCTTGTGAATAATTTTAATAATACAGTTGAATTTTATTTTATGTCATTGTCTTCATCTAAAGTTATCATTATAAAAAAAAAACTTTTTATTCCTTTTATATGTTTCCTTAGAATTTTATCTGTACATATATCTTTTTTCTCCTAAATAATTATAATTATGTGTACCAAAGGGAAGCTTTCGCATAAATGAATGAAATAAATAAAGAACAAATTTTTTTAATATGCAAATGAAACGTTTAATGAAAACGTACTTATCAGCGTACAGAGGGCACATGGTGAGGAAAGAAATAAGCCCATTGATGAAGAATGAGATGAGCCAAGAGACGAAGGATTTCATCAAATTCTACAGCAACAAGTGGAGATCGAAGAGCATATTCCAAGTCCTCCTACGGTACCGTGCAGCCCGCTATCAAGACTTTGTGCAGTTATCGCAACAGGTATTACTAAGATATATTCAAGCCTTGAGCGGTTTTTTCATAGAAAAAAAAAGGTATACCGTTTCGAATATCGATGGCAGGTTCACCTATGCAATCAATCGATAATGACAGCCTTGGAGAGCATGAATAATCGGGTACCTCTCGAGAAGGTCGACCCAGGCGCTAAGGTGGACGCTTACATAAGCGAAGTGAAGCCACCTCAGGTGTACAAACTACCCTTCGACATGCAACAAGAGCTGTCATACTTCGATACGAGCTACATGAACGACCCCTCGAGCGAGAAAATGAAACGTACAGGGTGAGTCGCGCCTAATGTATCCTTCAACCTTCGACCTTTGCTCGTAGCAACAGCCTGAGAATCGGGAATACACAAACACACACGGCCGGCAACCCTATTTTACACGACCCGGATAATATTAACGCACGCACAGAGTCGTACGGTAACTTCCCTCGCAGATCCGTTCTGTTCTGTTTCTCTTGCTATTTCCCCACCTTCCTCCCTGTACACTCCGTACGCGTAGTTCTGTCTTTTTGTGCGTATCGTGCCGTCTATGTTGAAGAAGTAGGAGTCGTCTCCCGAAGGACCCTTCGGGAATTTATGAGATCGACTGAGAGAAAGACGTTAATCGCAGATCTGTGTCGTCGGTGAGCGACGACGAGCACGAGCCGTGGGACGCACCGTTGCGCAGGCAAACCGTACCATGGGCCAACAGCAACGTTCATACGAGAGGTACGTCGTCGAGGTCTCGTCATTCTTCGATAGTTACCTAGATATCTAGAGCGAGATAGGAAGATACCTATGAACTCGGTCAGATACAGAATATCACAAGGAATATGGCAAGCAATGAAATTCTCTCCTTCAGACGTTGAGGTACAAACGACCAATTCGCCACATCGCATGTCTCTACATCGCGCTTCAGTCGGCGGGGAGCAAAGCTTGATCAACACTCCGTTCACCAGGGATCCGAGTGTCCCCGTTCAATGTCCACCGGAGGATCTATCCCGCCGCAACAGCAACAACCCCGGTTATCAACCGCCTCTGAGCAGATACAGCTCCACGCAATCCTTTGATTCTCAAATTCCTTGTTCCGTAAGTTCGCGGCAAAATGACATTTCGTGTAAATGAACTTGTATACGCAGAACAAAATTAGTATCAATTCAAGACTCATATTCTCATTGTAAGCAAGAATATGTGAAGATACAATTTTTAAGTTACATACAACCTCGTGTATAGAATAACATCGATCACACTGGACCAGCGCAGTACAGAAAGAAATCGCAGCCGTCACCGAAGCCGTTCAATCAAGGGCAATCATCGGCGCGCAATTTCAACAGCTACGAGTCGGACATTCGAAACAGAAACGACATCGATGAGATCACAGACTGGGAGTTCGAGGATCGTCATCGAGTCAATCGTAACGTCGACAGTAACATTCGGTGTGGTCACCGTCGCGGAAATGAATTCTCGCCCCGACGCGACGAATAATTCCCTTTCCCTAACGAGATTTTCTTCCTCGCGTTGCAGCATGAATGCCATTAAGGAGCTGGAGATGATCGGCCGCAGAAATAACAACGACGACAACGACGACGCACCTCCGTTCAACTTTCAGGTGAGACGCACCCCGTTTCACACTCCTATACCCGCTGCAGCCTCTTACGTGCGCACAGGTTTATTTTACAGCCATTGACGCGATCCATCGGTTATATCAATGGTTAAAAAATAGACCTAGCCGAGTCATCGATCGTTGTTATTCTAGGCGATGTTGCGGAAAACGCCTCATCAGCGAGACTCGATGAAACGCAATCCTGTGTACGAGAGCGTCACACCGTCGCCGATGCCTTACCGCCGCGACAGCGAAGACCTGTGCGTCGCCTACAAAAGCGCCGGTGATCGTAAAGGTTCGCCCGAGTGGAGCCCGAACGAGATGATCCTCATGTCGGAGAAGTACGCGAAGCAGGACGCGTGGGATGAGGAATGCGCCAACGACGGTGACAGCGTCACTACCGAGATCGCACCGGGCATTGTTGTCAAAGGCCACGTGGCTGAACTATAAAGCATCAGTTAACTCCAAGCGTGCTCGTTAGTTGAACTTTTTTTTTTGTAACTGCTATACCTAAGATTATAATATATATCTGGGAGAAGAAAGAGATATCTGATCAGAGTTTAGCGACAATTTCGAATGCAATAACGATTCCTAGGAAAACTGGCAGTTTCGCTTACCAGCCGATCGTTAAAGCGAACGTTGAATTCTGAATTCATGACAAAGTGTCAAAGAAATATAGAAATAAGGAAGTATGTATCGATATAAAGTAATTATTATGTAATAGAGAGAATGTGTGGAGCGAGTTTCCTTATTAATACAAAAAGAAGATAGATATTCTAAGAATAATCTGGCTTGTCAAGATCTGAATTAAATGTAAGAGATAAAAATATAAAATGATGATGTTGAAGCAACATTACGGAGAAGAACGTGCACGAGTAAATTTATAAAAACATGTTATATATAATATCAATATAAATACTATAGATATATTTCTCTTCATAAAAATTCTTAAACTAATATCATTTTTAATAAACAAACAACAGATTACTCCCTCACGATACGCCGAAATATGTTTTGTACTCCGCGCGCATCGGTGACTTGATGGTAAAATTTAAATTAAGATGTTAAATAGATCGCTTTGCGTTATATACATACTGGCCATGCTTATTGACTTAAGTATATAAAATATAATGTATATAAATATATGGAAAAATCACGATGCTTTAAGCAGTTTTTCAAACGGTTATTTCAACAACAGATGCATACATCACAGTAATACGTATATAGTACGAATACGTATAGATAATACTACATTATCATATATCTTTATACATTCAAAGTTGCTCGGGGACAGCTATTTTGATTCGAACGAAAAGTAATAAATAATAATACAACGTAAGTCTCTTAAATTCTCACATACACACACATATACATGACTGTGGACGGATATATTAACATCTCTTGAAGTAACGTATAAATATGAATAAAAAAAAAAAACACATTTTACATCTCTAATAAATTAAAATTCTCGAGTACAAGAAGATCATTTTGCATAAGCTTCGGGCGTGACAATTCTTTTTCGCTTCCTGTGAAGATCCGTGAGTTTTACCGGCACCAAATTCGCAGCGAGGAGTCCACGAGATCGAGAGCGTGCTCTCGTGCTCGATTTGCGATCGTCTAATCTTTGTCCGGCTGAGCGGTCTCGTGACTATTATTCTGCTGGGAACTCTGCTTGATGATATTGACCAATGTGTCCAATCTGGTAGGACGTGCTATTTGCAGAACCATATGCGCCTCTTCCAAGATCAAGAGACCGTTGTGCGCGTCGCTGTCCGATAGATTGTGCGCCGATATCACGTGCCGTCTCCAGGCCGCGTGAGTGGGGAGGACCTGAAGAGAGAGAGAGAGAGAGAGGGAGAGAAAGAGAGAGAGAGATAGAAATTATGAGAATAAAATATCACCTGTCACGAAAGGGTTACGAAATGTCAACGATATACAATTCACCGCGACTTTGTTACGTAACGAACGGCGAAGGGTCCCGAGACTCACTTGTAAGCACCACTTGCAATTGAGGGACGGCGAGATAGTGTGGACAGCTTTTATGTGCCTTCTGCGAAAGCCCCAGCTCGTGTATGCCCTGTCGCAGAAAGGACACGGAAACGGTGGGTAAGCCGGCCCACCTTTTATCGTCTCCTCCGACAGATCCGTGCCGTAGGACTCGGCTAACGCGGGGAAGCCGGGCTGCGAGGCTCCAGCACTGTGTCCCACGAGGAAACCCGAGGACTCTGCCTGAGCAAACGCTTGCTCGCCATGAAAACGACCCCGCAAATTAGACGGCAACGGATCCTCCGCACGTTTCGAGCCGTCCCACAGGGAACTTTGCTCGATCGGATCTCCTTCCAGACGCGTCTGTGGTTCTGGAGAAGCGTGGCGAGCCTCGGCTATCACCGTCACAGTCGGCTTCGACGACGACGATCCTGTAAAGAATTTCAGCCGGCCATTTGAATCGTTTTTCTCATAAGTGAAACTCAATGTCGATATAAACCAAGTACTGACCGATGCGTTCGATGTGACATCGGTGATATGTATACTATAAGTAACTACAACTAATAAATATAACTTACTCGACGCGTACTAGTTGTGGTCTCTTGATTTTGCTCCTCTCTCTATTTGCGTAAAGCAATAATATCTCGCAATAAACACCGCCGTCGACTCCAATCTTTCGCGTCGACTTAAAGCGGTAACCGTGACTTAAGAAGTACAGGTGAAACGTTTCCCCGCGGAAAATCCTCGAGCAAACTGTCGTTCTGACAAATACCGCCAAATGCAGTCTCTTACATCGTCTAATATCGTCGCGTGGATCACACATGCGACGGACAACGGAGATCGTTCGGCAGGTACGTCGGAAATCAGGAGACAATTAAAAATGTAAAATAGGTTTATTTGCGACCAGTCGTGTGTGTCTTGTCTACAATAGTATCGATTTAAATAATAATCGTCGATCCGAAGCTGTCAGTATACTCGAATGATCGACGCCCGTATCGCGCGCAACCGAATAAAAATGACTCGACTTCTCGTGAAGTAAAGTAAACGGAGATCAACAAACGCTTTCGCGCGAGTCTCGAGAATGATACAAATCGCACGTATTCGCAACATATATATATATATCCTAATTCGGAGGAGGAGGACTAATCCGGACTGGGGTGCGGATGTAAACGCGCAAGGATGCCCATACGGAGAAAAAAGATTGGTTGAATTCCCAAGCAAGAAACATTAAATCAATCTTTAGAAACATTAATTTTATGTTGGATTTTATAAACAATTGACATAATATTTTGTAAATGTTTTTAAACTGTTACTTGATGATATAATATTCCTAAATATTAAGATCATATAGTGTAGAAATATTATTTTTAATGTTTTAGTCAAATATTATTAACAATGACTTGTATACAATATTAACCCATTTCGGATTGGGTTGCAAAAATATTGAAATTTATGAAATCCAAGTACTGTTTTAGGATAATTGAGACCTAAAGAACGGAAAAAAAATCTGAAATTAAGAATTTTCCAACCAGCCGTTTTCCCCGGAAAATAATAGGAGCATCAATCTTAAATGATACCTGGCGAATCCTATCATAACGGGAATCATCGTTTTCGGCGATTTGAACTTTTGATAATACCTCAACATTGTCTTCTCAATTTTTTATTTGTTACTATTTTTAACTAATTAATTAAAAATTAATTAAAAAGATGAGGCAATGAATTAAAAAGATATATTTTACAAGGTCATTTTTTATCTCCACCTATCGCCGGGGAGTGACGAGTGGTGGCAAAGTGATATTTTCTGAAAGGCAAAAGTCTAAATTATATTTCGGTAAGAAGATCTAGGCCAGAATCTATCTTTATCATAAATAAAAAATGTTTGAAGATAGATAAATTTGCTGTTCCTACATAAAAACAGAGGAGCGAAATGAGTTAAGAACTACATATTTGAAAACGTTATATGTTATAAAATATTATTAAAGCAACATTGTATTAATGATTTTTTGTTTACTGGGTTAACGTGCCAATAAGCAAACCGAATATGTTTTAATTGAAGAGAGCAGAATTCCCGGTCCTAAGAATCCAATTTAGCTTTATAAAAACTAGAAATTCTGTTTCCTTCAACGAAAATGCGTTTGGTCCCTTGTCACGTTAATTCAACCAATCGCCTTTCTCCGTGCAGCGACAACTGCTGCGAAAAGTGCCGGACGACTCGGCTCTGCCAAGAGTGAGTACGGAAGAGAAAATACGCCGCGGAAAGCGTGTCCGTGATGTGCTCGGACGTTCGGCATTTTCACGACGGCAGTGTCGCATCGTCGACGCGCACCTGCACTCCTAATCGGCGCTTCTCATCCGAATTACATTGCATTACATACATATCCTAATAGTTCGTGGCGCATACAGCGACCCTCCGCGCGCTGGCGATTTAAATAATCTACAAGCATGTCTTAATTCGCTATTCCTGTCGTAAGAGCTACAGAGTTTTCTTTTCTTCCTTCTTTTTAAGTGTACATTGAAGAGCCGCCGTGGTCGCGCGGCGCGTATTCACGCACGCGCACGCGCGCGTGACCAGCACGACCGTGACCGACACGGCCGAGCCACGCATCCTCGTACGTGTACATATACGTACATACATATCATACATATACCTCTAAATGAGTACGTGTACGTGTACGCGCGTGCATGCCCGTGCACATACAGGATGTCCCAAAGTTCGCAGAAAGAAGACGCCGCTGCGTGGAAGTCCGTGCTTGAAAAACGCGCGAGTGATGATAGTGAGCGGGATTTTCTTCTTCTCCCTTTATTCCAAAATCCAATCTCGCTCTTCGGACACAAGAGAGATCCAGTGACTGCGCGCGCGCTTCACTCTGCGCGATAAGGCGGGCGACCCGCGAAGAAGTTCGCGTACAACGACGCGATCTTCTCCGCTAGATTCAGCATCTACAAACGCACGCGAACGTGCGCTTTCCCACTGTTTCTCGCCAAAACTTCCTCATTCTCGAATGTTAAGACAGCCTGTACACGCGACGTATATACGCACAACGAATGCGTGCCGCATATAGTGTATATATATATATATATATATATATATATATATACACACACGCACTCTATTCGTGTATTAATAATGCGTGAGCGAGTACGTGATATCCGTGTGTATATCCGAGAGTGCGAGAGTGAGTGAAAGAGGGGAATAGATAGAGGGAGGGGGAGAGAGGGAAAGAGAGAGGGTGAGGGAGAGAGGGAGAGAGACAGAGATACTCGCGTGTCTTTCCCCGATATACGCCGACTTAATAATATCATGTCGTCTTTACCGGCGAAGTGAGTTCTCGCACGAATATACCGCAAATAAACGTTAAGGAATGTTACGTTATTCGACGTGCCATACGAAAAACACAACAAGGTACACAGGCAGCTGGACGATTGACCTCGCTCTCGCGAGCGCGTCGTGAGTAGTAATGGTTGTGGTGGTGGTGGTGATAGTGGGGGAGATTCCTTAAAGCACACGCGGCGCGAAAGAGAGGGACGGGAGAAAAGGGGAGAGAGATCGAACAAAGTTCCTCGGGGTGTTGCCCCCTTCGACAAGGTGAAAATTATAACGAAACTACCGAGGAAGGCTTAGAATTATTATTCGTACGTCCGCCGGTGCGACGAACGTGAAGCGTATATTTATAAATAACTCTCGATCGCGATCTACGACGCGCCTCCTAAGATCACACCCTGTCACCCCGAAATCTACAATCTAAAATCGTCCTCGCGGATCGGAGCGTGCCCACACGCGCGCACGCAACGTTCGCTCCGACACCTATTGCACGTATTCCGCGCGATTTTCCCTAACCCGCGCCGGCCGGCCGATCGTCCGTCCCTTCTTCCCCCCGTTAACGGCTACGCGCGCGCGTTGAACCTAACTATCTACTTACATCGATCTTTTTTACAACGTCCTAAAACGCGAAAGCGCGAAAGCTCACACCGAGGAGGAACGAGCGAGGGACGAGCCTCGCGACGGTTCCGCGTGCGGTAACAGACTCAACAAAGACAGAGAGAGAGAGAGAGAGAGAGAGGGGGGGAAAGAGAAAGAGAGGGCGAGAGAGGGCGGAGGGGCGACGGGGGGTTTTTTACAAGGGTTTACGGTCCTATTCTAGCCAGTGGAAACGTTTCCGTTTGACCCCTGACCTGAAACGCCCTAGTCATTGGGTGTAAACCGAACGCCTCTGAAACAGATACCTTTTTAAGCCCCTATTGCTAGTGTCGATTTTGGTTACGCAATTCTTCCACGCCTCCTCCCACTCGATGCTGTTGGGCGCGATGCCGCTGAAGTGCAGGAGAACCTCGCGGATCAGGTGTATTTTGTTGCTGTCGAACTGCTGCTTGCCCATCTTGCCGTTGACGTTGCAGAGGATCCTCTCCTCCGGCGTGAAGAGGATCTTCATAAGGTCGCATGCCAGGTGATCCATCGGCCGCGAGGACGCCCAAGTGGAGATTATGTCCGGACTCGGCAGAAGATCGGCGTAAGGTAGCTGCTGATACGCGTAAAGCAGCGGCTTGACGTCCGAGAATCCACTTAGCCCGGACAAGCCCGATAAACCGGAAATGTCTTCAGCAGGGCTGTTCCCAGACCCTGCCACACACATCAGCACAGCGCGCTTTAGAGACACGGGCTACCTTCTCACACACGTGACATTACGCGCACAATAAAGAGAAAATGCGAGCGAGCGAGTGAACGAACGAACGAACGAACGAACGAACGAGCGAGTGAGCGAGCGAATGTACGTTATAAGAGGCTATAATGAAGGACCGATCACGCATCTTCCATCTCACGTATGCGCCGCTCACGCATGCACGCACGCACATACGACGCTTGTGCATCGCCGATCGACGCGTGACACCGAAGTCGACTTCGTTTCTCGAATCAACTTCCCGAATTACGTCCAAGTCGACGTCCGGTCTCTCACGAGGCTCACCGTGTGTATTACGTAAATTGGAAATCGCGACGATTACCGGCCGTAGTTCGGCGTGAATTACAGCCGTCACACGCGTGTATGTACAATCGTTTCGCGACTGATCGAGCGAGAACGATCAGGTTTTCTACGGATTTTTAGCGTCAAGTGTCTTCGCTGTAATCTCATGAGCCATAGAGAGAGAGAGAAAGAGAGAGAAAGAGAGAGAGAGGCCGTTTTGCCCGCTTGCGATAATTATGTCGCTCTCATTGTCTTCTCGATAGAGTTCTCTTTACTCGCGCACGCAATCTCTGCCTTCCTTTCTTTCTACCTTTCTCACGGTACTCTCGGCGGTGCAACAAATAAAGGAAACGTGGCCAAACACGCCAAAACGAGCGGAACAGAATATATATGCGATGAAAGCGAACAGAGAATTCGAAAGAAGCTACGAGCTGCGGTATCGAAGAAAAAGCTCTCCGATACTTCAGCGCGTATCGACGGACACGCAGAGACAACAACGTCGGTGTACGCAGTTTTGCGTGTTGCATTATGCGTGTGTTTCAATAAAAACAGCGGGTTATCAAATGATAATTAACCATGTACGTCGAAGAAAAGGCGAGATACGATATGGCCCTCGCATTGAATTCAAACTCGTCATTTCGACCGAATTTTGCAGACAGATCGGTAATTCCTCTCCTACGTGTTCCTGACGAACTTAACTTAAAGTCGCGTATTTTTTTCTCGGTTTTGGACCGACATCTTGATTTACCGACGAGCTTTTTTAACACGTTCGCTGCCAGCTACGAGTATACTCATAGTTGGTATATGAGCCTCACAAACCAACTACGAATATATTCGTACGTCGATTACCGACCTCCTATGCCAAGCAAGAGTTAATCCGTAGTATAAGCACGTTAATTTGATTTGTGAATAAAGCGGAGAGCACATCTGGGGGTTTGGTAGAAGGAAAATAATTTCAGCAAAAGTATAATATATTATAAGAAGTATTGTTGTGTAAACTATGTATTTATTATTGCAAATAAAACAATTTTCTGAAGTTTTTTCAATATTTTAATGTACATATATTTATATAGGATATATATAATGCACAAGTAATAGAAAAGAAGTTAAATTTTTAGTAAAATACAACACTAACTGTACTGTAAACCTATAAGTGAAAAAAGTCAATCTTTTTATAAATCAAATTACGAATGGTACACTTTAAAACAATTTTCCACGCACAATGGTGGTTTTCCCTGGCACACAGGACAATAATAACGTGTTTCGCGTCGCTGTTTGTTTCGTGTGCATACTCTGCATGGCCTTGTCGGGCGATTCTTTTTTTCTGTAGGTGGTAAAATTTCCAAATAATGTAGATCCCGAATCCTGCTGATATTCCGTGATGTCGTAGGCTCATCCATTCCAACAAAAACTGAGACAAATTTATCTCTAAATTTTTACGTAATCATTGAGTTTCCAGTAACTATATTATAAAATTTATGCGCATTTTGGATGTATATATCAAAAATGCATATTGCCAATTTCTTTGGCCATCTAATTGTCTCTCGTTAGGCGGGATAGTAAGAAAGCATTTGATCAGAAAGATCGATGCCTGCATACCCAAATTATAGTCCCTAACGATATTTGGTTTTATCTTTCTTTTATTGGCCATAGCGTAAAGGAAAATTTTTATTTAAACTCTGACTCTGAACTCAAGTTGCATTGAGAATGAGAAATTGTGATACGAGATTACTCGTAGTTGGCGTATAAAACAAAATTCTATCTGATAAGCCAGCTACGAGATAACTCGTACTAACGTTTTGTAGAAATGAAAGTGCTTGGAGCGCGGTAACAAACTATGTCCGAAGAGCGTGGCAGCGAACGTGTTAAATTTCTCTTTGGGAAAAATTCCATAAGAAATTTCGGCGTGATACTATTGGAGCGTGAATTTGCAAAATTTCCAACGTTGAAAATAAAAAGGTTGTAATAAAAGTAATAATAAAAACAGCAAATTTTCAAATAATAACTAACTATACAGGGTGTCCGGAAAGTTTTGATAAAGCGGCTATATGCAGGTAGAACGGGTTAAACTGAGCAAAAAAATCCTGTATCATTTTGCAAATGACCACGCAAAATTTCGAATTATTAATTATTAAAAATGGCCATGTGTAGAGGTTTCTTTAATTAATAATTGAAAAATTTGTGCTATTTGCAAAATGATAAAGGATTTTTCTACTCAGTTCAACTCCTTCTACCTGCGCATAGTCGCTCCGTCAAAATATTTTAGCACCCTATACACATCGAAGAGAAAGCGAATACGACATGAACTCATTAATTTGGCCAAATTTTGCACACAAGTCGGCAACTCCTCTCCCACGTATCCTTGACGAACTTAACTTAAAAAGTCGCTCATCTTCTCTCGGGTTTAGATCGACAGACATCCCGATTCCCCGACGTATCTCTTTAAATCTCTCTTTCTTTAGGAAAAAATATATCCAAAAGAAACTTAGGTTTTTCCAAATTTCCAACGTCGAAAGTAAAAAAGTTACAATAAACGTTGGTTCTCCGTTAGACTTTTCGCCAAGAAGCATCTTTATATACATATCTGTAGGAAGAGGTGGCTGATAAAATGTGCGGCATATTTTGTATACTCTGTGTGCGTATGTATGTGTCTACATGCTCGTATGTACAAAAGATATACCGAAGTAGCCGGTCTAACGGATCTGTATTTACTACAACATCGAGATGCCAGCGACAACACGGCAATGAGAATGCAAAGGAGACTGAACGTTGCCTAATTTCGCAAAGAATACACAATTTTCCAACGCAAGGAACGCATAAAACGCAGTACACAAGGGTAAATAGAGCAGTCTATTTACACATCCGCCAAGTGAGGCACATTCGCGCGCAATTTTCAACGGGAAAGATCCGATCAATCTGACACTAACCTTGATTCCCATCCGACTGTTCCGTGTCTAGCCTCTCCACTGCGTCCTTATCTAACGGAGATCGTTTCTGGATGTCTTCCACCGTCATTTCCAATGGTTCTATCTGAAATGTATTTGGATTGAACGCTACTCGTACACACAATCGTATGCACAATCATATGCGCATAACGTGCGACTGACTGTTTCGTCACTATTCTATCTGATCTTTCTACTACTTCCAGAACTAACTTTCATCTCCAAACGATGATACACTGGGTTGGGCAATGTCTCGGGCAACGTGTAATCTCCGTCTTTCCCGCTCTGATCACTCGCCGCGGATTCATTTGTATTCTCCGACTGCGGTATTCTAGGTGTCAGTGCTTTCTCCAAAATAGAATTATTCTGCTGTTTGCTGACTTTCTGTTTCTTCTTAGGTGTCTCCTCTTTAGTCAACGGTGCATCCTCGGCCACAGCCTGCTCTAGTTCAGCCAGTCTTTTATACGACTCCTTCGCGAAGATGTCTCCACCGGACAGACCCCGAATTTGTAATGTTTCTGCAGCTTTCAAAAGCGCAGGTAAGTTCTTCTGCTCGATATTCACCTCTCCTTTGTATATAAATATAAGTAGTGCCTCCAATTCACTAAAATGTACATCTTGAAGTATTATAACTGGATGCTGACATGGGTTTGTCTAAAAAAGAGAAAATAAAACTGTCAAGTTATAATTTACACCATATTATTAACAAAAAATTATTAATATATGTTAAACATAAAAACCACTTATATTATTTTGTCGGGAAAGCCATTTTTCTAAATGTTATTATTACAAAAATGGGCTCAAAGTAATGTTTATAATTTAAAAAATTTATAAAATACTATATATTGATATATCCATATTTCCATAAAATATATTAACAAAACATTTTTATAATATTATTACGTGAAACATAAATACTAGCATGTATAAATCATAGATGTAACGAAATCACTCAAGAGTTATGTCATTTCTGGTTATGTATACAAGATAAACGATATATCTTCTACTAAAATAGCAAATATGCAGTGAATCATCTTTATTTTCACACGAGGGAAATAAAATGTAAGCTTGCGAATTAACCAAAATTAGCACTAGAACAAGTTTAAATCTCGGCATATTAGGGTAAGTTTCAATCCACCAGCTCTCTGGCAGGACTATATTTCGTGCGCACCACCACGTAAGAAATACGTCAACGTTTGACAACAAGAATCGAGGTAAGCGTGAGAATACACTCGAGTGGAAAATCCGGGAGCCAATTAGCCGATAATCGTGGTCAATAATCGTCCGGTTTGCCCCGAAATCGAGCACGCCAATCAGACTCTAACCTCGCGACGCGAGAGCGCTCGGTGGGCTACGACAGCTGTCAAACGCGTTGTTGTGTACATACGTCTCTCACCGAGGCGTGACACGCGCGAGTACCGCCAGAACCGCGAAGTGGACAGTGCCCGGACGAGCGGGACGAGCCGTCGCCGAACTGACGACACGTCCACGAGAGTTTTCGGCGACGAGCACGATCTTGACCTCACCTGGAAGACCTTCTTGAAGAAGGGACTGCTGGCCGATAGTATCACCTTGTGCGCCGTCAGACACTGTCCGTCACTGGCGAGAGTCACGTCCACTAGACCCTCTTCCTCCCACAGGCTCTCGAAGCTGGTCGCGATATTGCTGAGAAAACTGTTCCACTTTAGGCATATTTGACTTGACATGTCGCGCGGGATAGCACAGCAGGCACGGCACGGCTCGGCACGCTCGCACTGTGTCGGGGTAGACGCTATCGCACCGTGGTGTCGCGCGGCGAACGCGAGCCTTGTCTTCTCACGCGACGACGGGAACGGCGAGCGCGACAGTGGCACGGCAGTCGTGCCAGGCACGCACAAACATCGTCGGCGGCGGAGTCGGGAGAGGAGGCGCGCCTGTTCTGCTCGTTTCTCCTGCACTCCCGTGCACTCGCCGCACTCGGGGCGAAACGGTCTGCTCCTCTCGACCGTAGGCGATATGCACTTTCTGCCCTCCGAGCGAACCTGGGTATTGCGTGTTGAGGAGGAAAAGGACGGAAACTAAAATTGAAAGGAAGTGCAGACGTTAAGGTTGGATCAAGCAGACTCCGTATGTTTGAATTTGGATGAAAAATATAAAAAGCAATGCGTGAAAAGTATAGATAACGCGATTTGTTTTAGCGAATATGGCAAAATTTGTGAATGATTTGCTTCTCAGTTCTTCCTGTGCACTTTGGTACGATTTCTCTTTCTTCTTTTCGTTATCGGTAAACTTCAAGCAGTAGCTATTTAATTTCAAGTGCAGAAAGTGTAGCTGAGCACTGCTGAAAGTTCGAGCGCGAACTTTGAACGATGTGGAGCGTTTAAGCAGCGTTCAAACCTGCGTCCCATCGAGCGAATCCACAATATGGATGCGTTGTGTCGTACACATAATAGCAATGAAACAAATTAACGCATAAACAAACCCATTTTTGCACAAGTTCAAATTCAACCTTTGTTAAACTAACATTCCATTGCAAAAAATTAAAATAACACTTATATAGAAGTTAAATGCCTTTTTTGTATGCTAATTATCTGAATATTCCGATGGTCAACTAGTTTGGCAGAAAATCGCGATTAAAAATGAGAACGCTGACTTAATTAATATAAAACTAACATTTCCCATTCTTTGAAATTAAACAAAAATCAAAACATTGTAATACGTCAGAATGATGTACGACGTAGTACGTCGGAATTATGTGTTAATGAAGAACATTTAACAGAACTCACGTATCTGTTATAGTTTGGAAGATAAAAAATCGAAAGTATATCATCGGTACAAGAACAAAGTGCTGGTTAAAATGCAGACAACGAATTGGCTTTATGCTCAATATGTTTGCCGATTTACGTGTTTACGAAATATGCGCAATGAAATTTTTACGCTCACTCACTGTTGGCAGATAATCCACTCCAAAAGTCGGCATCATCACTACTTACAAGAGTAAAATGCTAGTTAAGATATAATGGGCGAATCGGTTATATGTGAATAAAAATGTTATGAACATAGAACCGATTCACTATCTAATATAATGCATATGCATATGTATGTGTGTGGATGAATATATATATATATATCAAAAATAATAATTATCAAAATAGGAATATCGTCTTAATGTTTTAACAATTGTTGCTACTACCTTCAACTTGCATAGTAATAAATCGTCAACAATCTATTGAAGATTTACAACCCTGAATCAAATATTACGATTTGATTATGATATATCTCCAGGGATTAATATCGTTTTTTCTTCTTTACAGAGGATTTACCCTAATATTCAAAGGAAGAGATAATATGAAAATTTAACAATATTGTCAGACGCTGATAAAAATTGTATCCACGTGTGTGATTTTCAAACGAGAGTGTGGAGGAAAACGATGTTAAAGTATTAATAACTTATAACTTTGAATTCGTTTACGAGACGTTGTATCGTAAGAAAGCTACAGACGATGTTGGGTCGAAAGGGAAAATCGTTCCACGAGGCGGTACAGACTTACATTAAGCAAGGCGAAGTCGAGTGTGCATGCGTGCGTGCTTACGTGCGTGCTCGCGTGCGTACGTTCAACCGTACGGTCGACAACAACAATTCCCGCGTGCGTGGTCCGCGTGCGTGCATGCGTGCGTGCCTGCTCGCGTGCATGCATGCTTGCGTGCGTCCGTGTCCATAACAGAGTTCCATAATCGTTAAGGTTCCACCAGGTTCTACCATGCCTTGCCTCACGTACCAAGCGTGGCTACACGAAAATACAGAACGAAAACTTTAGCAACGTTTCGATGTTCATTTCGTTACATTCGAAGAAATAATTGATGGAACCGTGCCTCTACCATTTTCTCTTTTCAACAAACGTTGGAAAAGCAAAAGAGTTGTCTCGATTTTACGATAAAATAATATACTGCGTTACGTTATAATATAATATAATATACTGCGTTGCGATAAAATAATATACTACTGTTACGTTAATAATGTTATATATATCCTACTTTTACAAATGTGCTTATATATTTTTTTTAGTTTATATGTGTAAATATCTTTCTCTCAGAGAAATATTGTTATATAGCAGTTGAAAATTTGCCAGCAGCACAGCGGAAAGCGCTAACTACATTTTTTACATAATTTTTCTTTTGTTTCTGTTTTCCTTCTTCGATTAATCATAACCTTATCAAGATTGGATCTTAAATAAGATCTTGAATTGGATCGGAACAGATAATCTATTCTGTGCGAAGTTCTCTGTATCTGTTTCTCAAACCTCTTCTACTTTTGTATCTGAAAATTTATTTTTTCGTTAATAACTTCACAACTAACACTTATTTTTAACGTTTGATTATTTTTGCATATATGAACAACTCTTCTAAATAAAACATAAAATAATATCATTCTCACGTCCCTCTTTTCGCCTCGCTTCTCTCATGCTTTCTTGACACTCATATTTCCTTTTACTCGGTATACCTGCCTGTAACTGCTGTTATTGTTAAATCAATACTGCCTCCTCTTCCTAAATGGAATAAAGGGAAAAAAACATATTGTTCGATATATTTTATAATCCATTAAAAAATTTTACCTTGAGTTCTGGCGTTCTGATAACACCTCTTCTGTAATACCGACAATCAGCAACTGAGTATCGATATTTCAAATAGTACATCGATACCGTCCACGTACGCTCTCTGTCGTATACCTTTGGCATTACCGGGCCCAGTGCTGCCACCGAGACGACGAATTTAAATTCCATAGGATGTAACGTATCGTTTGATGTTTTTCATCTGTTGCTTTCTATTTTTCGTGTGACACTTGGACTTGTGTTCTCTTCCAGTATGACTGATACTAATGATGTTTTCATGCAAAATGGAATAGGTAAGTATCCCAACGATTTGTATATGTATATCGTTTTATTAATAAAATGATTAATAGTTAATATACGTCCTGTCCATCTGTGAGCCAGCTGTGAACCTCTAGCTGAAATTGTCATTGAATTGAATTCAAAATACACATCAAGTGTTAATTTATAGATGATTATGAAATAATTTATAAATTTATATTTATATACGCGTATGATTATAATTATGCACGTGTATATGTGTACAATGTTGTACACTTTTACTCAATAGCTTAATATATATGGAAGTAGAGTGGATGACAATGTATGCCAAAAATATGTTTTGTGAAAAATGCAAAAAAATACATCTTTTTATTGACATGATAGAGATGGAGATAGTTTAAGTACTTACTATATTTTGACACGATAGAGATAGTTTGAACTTATTATATTTTTATATCGATTGTATCTTAAGTATAAGCTCTGAATAAATAATTAAATATATGTATATTAAAGGAGAAGACAGGAAATCTGCAGAAGAAATGGATGTGCTACGTCAAAAAATGTTAGCGTATGAGTATCTCTGTCATCTGGAAGAAGCTAAGAAGTAATATAGATTATATTTTTATATTTGCCTTAAAAAATATAAAGACATTTGTGTTGACTTTTGTGAAAATTCTCTTCTACAGATGGATGGAAGCTTGTCTGAGAGAAGTATTGCCTCCAACAACAGAATTGGAGGAGAATCTACGCAATGGTGTATATCTAGCAAAACTTGGCCACTTTATGGCACCTGATATTCTGCCACTGAATAAGATATATGATTCTGAGCAGCGTAGATACAGAATTGTAGGGTTACAGTTCCGTCACACAGACAATATAAACCACTTTTTAAGATGTTTAAAATGTACGCAGCTACCATTGGTATGTATTTATAGAATATAATTTTTTGTAAAAGAATACATTACTGTGGTATATAAACATAGTCTTGTTAAAAGTTAATATGTTATATTATTTGCTTTTATAGACATTTCAGCCAGAAACAACAGACATATATGACAAGAAGAATATGCCACGAGTAATATATTGCATTCATGCCCTTAGTACACATTTATTTAAATTGGGTAAAGCACCACAAATACAAGATTTATATGGAAAAGTAGATTTTACAGGTTTGTACTTTATTATATGCCTTATCATATACGCAATATTTGCAGATATTAAAACAAAATAGTTAAAATATTCTTTTGAGGAGAAATATTGAATCTCTATGTATTTTTATGCTATATTTTATGTATTTTGTCCAGATGAAGAAATTGATGCTGTTAGAAAAGAACTACGAAAATATGGCATCCAAATGCCTGCCTTCCAAAAAATAGGAGGTTTACTAACTAACAATATCGCTACTGACACTGCCACTCTTCATGCAGCTGTAATTGCAGTTAATCAAGCCGTGATGAAGAAAGTATGCACGTTTTACCTAATTCACCAATCAAATTTTTACATTTGATTATTAATAATACAAACTGCTTTGTTTATAGGATAACACAATGATATTACAAGCGCTTCAATGTAAAGCAGCGCAATTAAATAACATTGTGCCTACTTATATTGAAAAATATGCCAAGACATTGTCAGAAGCTAAAGCTAAAAAGGTAGAGGCAACGCTTAACAAGGTATGTATTATAGTTATATAACTTCATAATTACACGTTTATAGATTTTACATTTAAGATTCAACAACTGATTTTTTAACTTATACAATATTGTTCAGTCTCTCAACGATAGTTACGAACCAGATGCCTATGATGAGTTATTAACGCAAGCCGAAATACAAGGACACATTAATTACGTGAATGGTACGTGTAAAATAAATATTGATTATCATTATAATTATATAACAGTATCTGATACATAGCTATATTACGATGAAATATATTTCAGCTCGTTGCGCGCTGAAGGCTATCGTTTCGTTTGCATATCGTAAAGATAATCAATTAATATCTGCTCTAATGACACAGACATTATCTCTCAAGGTATAGTATAAGAAATATTCTTCTGAATTTAACGACTGTTCATTACAAATTTTGTGTAATATTAATATTATAAATATTGTCTTGTACGCGCACCCAGAATATAATTCCTGAAAATATTGAAATATACAACAAAGAATTGAAGCGGCTATTTGAAAGCGACGAATGGCACGATATATTTTCCAAGAATATTCACCATTGGCAAGATCTACTTCAGAACTCGATTGACGAAGGAAACGAGATTGTACTGCAACGTCGTGAGCGTAAGTATCGTTCAAAGAGATTCTTATAAACGGTTGTCAAACAATATCGAATACAATTAAGATTTATTACAGGAGAGGAAGTTATGGAACGTTTAAATAAGTTTTTACTACAAAACACTGATCAAGAGAAATTCTACGAAATCTTGCGGAGCCCTTGTCTGGGAATTTCTCATCGCATCGATAAATTTGCGGTCCCGTTGTACTACGAGGAGATGAAAGACGATTGTATTGAATCGGAGGTAAAGTAAAAATTCTCTAATTTAACACGATCGAGGAGCAAAACTGTTTTTTTCCAACAGGGTGGTATTACCTACGAGGATGTAATAGTCAGTGTAACTGTGTTAACCGCTATCGCCTCTATTTCCAAGGCGGTAGACACGGGAAATCCAGATCTCGTGTATGAAAAGCTGTCGAATGCCGAAGCACGTATATCCGTAAGTATAACGATAATCTATGATTATCTGCAAGAATAGAAACGCGAACTGTTTTAACGTAGCATTGGAACCCACGTACATAGGACTTAGACGAGGAGAACAGAGTGAAGTATACCCGTGCACTGGTGAATGCTCGGCACGAAAAGCAACTGAGGAGCTTAAAGTGCCCTTTATTAACTTACAGCGACATTCAAATATGCATCGATTCGATAAATGCGCAATGCATTAAGAACTCGGAAGGTATAACGAGAATATTAAAACGGGCTGTGATTATGTGTATGCATATCATACGGTATGAAATTACTATTGACCAATTATTTAAACAGTTATAGAGATTTTACAACGATTAAATCGGGCTGTGATCGAGAACGATTATGACAGCTTGAGGGAGGCCCTTGAAACGATAAATGCGAAGCTCGGTATACACGTGTCTCCGTACGACGTGACGCTTTATTTAAAGCTGTTCAAGAAACGTTTAATTGAGAAACAATCCGATGGATCTGAGTTATGGCTAGATGACGTTGAAACTATAACGGAAATAGTGAAATCGGAAAGCATGAAAGTCGAAGAAAGTACGTTCGAAAATATGCGTTTACCGTAGTCATCATTTTAAGCTGGAACTTAGCGTGATGAACATAAATCTTTATTCATCATCTTCATGTGTTATATCGCTTTTGTTTGCAGTGATTATGTTTCTGCTTGATATTAATGAAGCGGTGAAACAGGACAATATGTCAGATGTGATCGATTGTCTTCAAATATTCGGTTGTACACTCGATGAAGCGTTTCATGAGGAGTATCATCAGTCATTGCGGCAGTTACAAAAGCGAAAGGTAAAAGCTCTTATGAAGGTTACATTGTACAATTGTTGCACCTTGGAAGAAGAAGAACTAATACTTTGTTAAAACTGTATGAAAACAAAAGACTAATATTACAATAATACAATAATGTCAATTTCTTCACAAATATATATACCACGCAATCATCTAATTATAATGATTTGTTTATTACTGTAGCGCGAAATCTACAGTTCTTCATATGTTTTATACATCACTGATAACGGAAATGAAGCCTATATCGATATGGACAAAGGCGTGTACATGTGGGATCAACCGGCAGATCTCGTGGAATCTTACTATATCACTGGGGAGGATGTAAAAGTACGTATTTCTCTCGGAAAAAATTATACACTATCATTTTTCATTAAAAAATACGTCACAAATAACGTTCTCTTCATCCTGCACGTTCGTAGGAAATAATTAAATACATCGGCTCAACATCGAGGAAACATCAAGACGAAACATGGGACGAAAGAAGCGTATTCGAAGAGATGATTACCAGACTTCAGGCTTATATCCGGGGAAATTTGCTACGTAGAAAAGTTCACGAAATACGCTCTCAATTCAAGAAGAATCTGAAAAAAGTTGTCATGATACAAGCGTGGTGGCGAGGAATTATGCAACGTAAACGATATCTTAAACTTCTGGAAAGAAGACGGCAAGATGCGATATTACAATATCACGAGAGCGAGAGCAAATTATTAAACATTAAAATAGTGGACAATTATGATATATTAAGCCTATATATGAACGAGGTGAGTTTTGAATTCGACTTTTGACCAAATAATCTAACTATTGCTCCTCGGTACAATATACATTTATATTTATTCTCGTCAAATCTTATTCCGACATTAGCAAGACATTGAGCGGATAATAAAGATACAAGCTCTGTGGCGTGGCCGAATATCTAGGCAAGCCTTTCATTCGTTACTTTACTCGGAAAAGCCATCTTTCGCTGTGGTCCGACATTTCTCGACGGTGCTCGGCTTCAACGCGGAAGATTACGACAAGGATCTAGAGCTACAAGTACGATAAATCTTGCGTCACTTATTTCACATTAATGCACAGGAATCTCTATGCATACACCCAAGTTCTGTTCACAACCGCTTGTTTCAGAAATTAAAGCTCGACGTTGTGCAGGGTATAAAGCACAATCAAAATCTGTCGCAGCAGCTGGACAGCATGTACGTGAAAATAGGATTGTTGATCCAGAACAGAATAGCATTACAGGTAACTCCAAACATCTAGAGTGTATTTACAATTAATTAATTACCAATTAATTAATAATTATTAATAATTAAATCAATCTTGAAGTATGACGGAAGATAAATTATCCGTCAGTCAAGAGGAGCCAAATACGGATGTTTTAATGCCACTAGATATTAGAAGCCACTAGAAATAATTATTAATTAATAATTAGTATTGCCAATAATTAATTAATATATACTTTTTTTTTGGAACGTGTATTACTTTTATTTTTAGGATGTAGTGGCGCATAGTAAGAATCTGGATACTCTTGCGAAGGAGAAGAATACGACCGAGGATCAGACGGGAGTTTCAAACGACAGCATCATGATAAAAGCGCATAAAGGCCTCAGATCGCTGACGAAGGAGGGTCGTAAGATGCTGGAAGGATACCAGCACTTATTTTACGCGTTGCAGACGAATCCGCAATACCTGTCGAAATTGTTGCACTTGCCTCCTCAGGGTAAGACGAACAAATTGTTTCTGAAGAACGTCATTCTGATATTGTTCAATTTCGGCTCGAACACGCGAGAGGATTACCTATTGCTGAAGCTCTTCGGCAGCGCGTTAAGGGAAGAGATCAGGTGCAACTGCGACAAGCCTTCGGATGTGTTGACCGGCAAGCCGCTTGTGCGCGAAATGGTAGTGAGTTACGCGAAACAGTTGAGCGGCCAAGGATTACTGAAGCAAGTAGTGGGACCATTGATCGAAAAAGTCCTGGAAGACGGGACCCTGTACCTCGAGACGAGTCCATCTGACATATACAAGCTGTGGCGAAATCAGTTGGAGATGGAATCCGGCCAAATTCAAGACATGCCTCAGACGGTGTCTCGAGAGAGCGCATTGTGTTTCCCTCACGTGAGCAGGGTGTTGGAAAAGACAATAAACGGTCTGAAAAGTATCTCTCTCGAGTTTCTGAACAAAATAACGGAATCTCGCGACTGGATACCATATGGAATGCTCTACATGGCGAAAGTCCTGTACGACTCGCTGACGGAGAAGTTCCCGCAAGCTCCCGAGAAGGATATTCTGAAAGCCGTCGGCAATTTGATTTACTATCACTTCATCAATGCCGCGATCGTGGCGCCCGATACCTTTGACATCGTGTCGTTGCCGGTCGACAAGTCGTTGTCCAGCAACCAGAGGCGAAATCTGGCCACGATTGCCAAGATTTTGCAGTTCGCCTCCACGAAGAAGGGTTTCGGCGACGAGTCACCGCATTTGGGATGTCTTAATCCGTTCATCATCGACTGCCACGAACAGTTCAAGAGTTTCTTCCGGCACTGTTGTCAGGTGGAGGATCTCGAGGAGCACTTCAACATCCACGAATACACGGAAGCCACGCTCATACAAAAACCAGAGATCTGCATATCCCTGCAGGTGAGCGATTACGTCAACTATATGGATGCTCGACGATATGAACTGATACACGGAGCTAAAGATTTCCTTGAATGTAATATAGGTGTTTATTTGACTTGGGTTTGACTTGGGTTTGTTTAATATAAAGAATATAATTTAATATCAATATCATCTTGCCAATGTCATCATGTTATTTGATGGAAAACATTATTTAAGGAAAATTATATTTAATTTTTAATAAAACAAATATTTCATGGACAAAGAAGTTTTTTGATACTTTTTTAACATATGATGTTACTTTTTCTAAAATAATTTATTGCTTGTGAACTATTGTAATGTTTAGATAAAAATACAAGAGAAACATGTTATTTGACGTAAAAATACTTATTGTTTAAGAAACCAAACGATCTTGTTTGTTTAATCAAAATACATTTGTTTGTTCGTTCCATTCCGAAAGACAAATTTGTTTCAATTAAAGAAATTCTATTAAATCCGAAGAAATCTTTCTCTCTGTGTGCGCAATCGATCTTACCGGCGAATTGATCGACTAAATTTGAACTTGGTTCGCAGGAAATATGTGACATACATAACTTGGTGCTGAAATATCAGGACGAGATAGCGCCTGATCAGTCCGACCCTTTGCACGACCTGCTGGAAGACTTGGGTCCGGCGCCGACTGTAGCGTCGTTACTCGGAATATGTGAGTTAGAACGAAATACAGATACCGGCGATGTGTTGCTACATGCGATATTTATATTGTCAATACCGATTTCCCCGCAGCTCAACCGACATACGAGGCGAATTTGCCGCGATATAGCAAAACCGAGGTATGTTTGGTGTTGACTAACAAGTACCAAGTGCCGCGACACGACGACGCGAATCTGAACAACCTTTTCATACAAGCGAAAGAATTGCTCGTTTCGGTTCTTCCGTTTCTAAAGAGGCAATCTTTGGTGGAATCCTTAGAGACCAGTTGTTCTCCGATGTACGTGAAGCTTTACGATCACTCGATGGCAACGCCAGCATTACACGTTATTCGCGAGAGGTGAGTTCTTCATCTTCATCTTATCCTTGTCAGTATTTAAAATCTAATATCGTATCTAACGTATCTCGTAATGAGTTTTGCTATAAATACAGGGTGTCGCCAAAAAAATGTTACCACATTTATTAACTGGTAAAACGCTACATAAATAATCTACACTTTATAAACAATCCAAGTGTGGTAACATTTTTTTGCGACATCCTGTATTTTACGGAGATCCCTTTGTGTCATCAACATTTCGCGCAGCTGTCAAGAAATTCAAGTCCTTTGCAAATATTAATGCGTCACCAAATCCTCGCGCAACAGCTCGTCTGTAAACGACTGCAAGCTGCAATTACGCTCGTACCTGCACAAACTCGAACTCGAGGGGTGGGTGAGTCGTGCGGACGGCTATCAAACGATCGTGACTGCCATAGCGAAGGACATCTGCAACAAGAAGAAGTACCGTGTCATGAGAGATACGGAACTGCAGACGCTGCGTGCGACCAAAGAGCGACTGGAAGAGAAGACGAAGTATTACGAGGAGCAGGTTGAATTCTACAATCAATACATACAACGATGCCTCGAAAATTTGCACACCGGAAAGGGGTACGTTAATGTTTCACGCCGATTTCTCTTCAACAGGGCCTCGTCGTGCCTTTTAAGCGAGGTCCAAAATGAAATTACGCATTTTCAAAATTATTTGATAATTTTCAAGATTAATAATAGCGATTATACTATCGGGTCACGACACATCAGGTGCGCAAAGAAGTTTCCTGAATTCCAAATTTCTGTAATAAAACATGATTCAAATCACTTTCATTAAAGCAAAATTTAATTGTGGAGCGACGAACTTTTTGCATCATCATCTGTCAATTACCGTGATGTTTTCCTGTAAGATCGGAAATATTCTGTGATATTGTGAAGAAGTTGATTCTTACAAGCAACATCCCGATGACGAGCGATTCTTTGCAGTTCGCGTCGCGCGTATCAAGCACTGCAGAAAGATACGCACGGCAAGCTGAGATCCAAGATGACGCTGAAGTATTCTGCCTGGAAGCTGCAGGAGAAAGGCGTGCTGGTGGAGGTCGACGGGTTGACGCAGACGGAGCTGAGAAACGTTATCTTCGAGATCAGTCCGACGGAGCACAGCGGTCTCTTCGTCGTCAACTGCCGATTCATGGGCCTTGAGATGGAGAAGCTCGACATCAACATACAAGAGTTGCTGCAATTGCAATACGAGGGCGCATCAATCATGAACATGTTCGGCAGAGCGAAGGTCAACGTGAACTTGCTCCTGCATCTCCTCAATCGAAAGTTTTACGGGAAGACCTGAACGCGCGACCTCGCGCGAAGGCGCGTATCGGCGGAGAAAAAAAAAACCAGGTCCTGGACGTAGAAGACGCGAAGTTGGTTTCACGTTGTCATCCTCTACGTGCAATTTATCGTTAGCCGAACGTGCTCGGAAAGCGGGCACAGCGGTTTCGTCGCTACGACAAATTGGACGAGTGTAATCCGCGAACTCAGTACTTCCGTACGTTGAGAGAGAGTGTTCCAGAGACCGCCGATATATTGTAATATACTAAATATATAACACGCGGGGTGCGACAGATTCCTGAGATTTCATTTTACCATGTGCTGAGATGCTCCGATTGTTATCTTTCTATTATTTTAAATACAGTTGAAAGGAACAAATGAGCAAAGAGGATTTCAACTTTAAAAAAAAAGAATATGCACGAGCGGCAAAGGTATTTCACACGTTAACGATGTTTAAATTATCAATAAGTGAGCCTCACAAAAACTAAACTCTGTTTAATCCTACATTTTGCACATTTTTAACTTTGGAAAGTTCAAAAATTCATGTGTTATAATACTAAAATTAAAAAATTTATGTAAAAGTGAAGTTAATCAGATTGAGGCTTTTGTGTGAGAGACTAATTTAATAATAATTTTTATATCGTTAATGTGGAATATCCCTATTGTATGCTTTTTCTATTGTTTCTTTTCAAATTCTGTTTCTTTACCTGTTCCTTTAAGCTTCTGTAATTAAAATAATTGAAATAAAAGAGTGACATTACTATCATGTATTTTACATGATATAGTTTTGTCGATAAACATTGCTAACGTAATGCTGAGCATCTCCACGAGAAGCTCTCTATGAAACTTTGCAAATTTCCGCACCCTAATGATATGTTAATTCATCTACAGCAATCCGTCTAGTCTAAGTCTAGGTGTAACATGCGTCTAGATGTAATGTGCACGTTGTAAATAATGGTATTTGTGAAAAATTGAAAGTATTTGGAACGACTGGTCGACGTCATATATATGTATGACGCTTCCGTGTATTTATTCGCTACGTAATTATGAATTAGAATATACGGACGTCATGATGTGGACTTAAAATATTAGGAATTAGGTACTTTTAATATTTTTTACGTTTATTTGCGACATTGTAATATACTGCCTTAACGATCAAGAATAGTATTAAAATATATGTTTCTATGATCAATTTTAATAAATGTATTTCTTATTCCTGCTAATCATATTAGGTCAATTAAAAAGTTCAGTTTTATTTTCTGCTTCCTTTTCAAAGTAAACATCTATGATAGAAGTATACGAATATTATTGGAACTTGACGAAGGTTTACAATAATGTTTACAAATAATTGTTGATTATCTGCTTCAAAATAACATGTCTCTGGCAAATATAACAATATCATATTTGGCCTTTAGAAATAAAGGAACTAAACCAAGAATGTTTCGATTCTTAGACTCGTTACTTTGATGTAAATAAAGGGTCTAAATCAGAAGAGTAGTTCCCATTGAACAAATAAACCAAAAAAAAGCAGCTTGCCAGCTTTGAGGTGCAGAGAGAGACAGCATTTAAGTAGAATCCTCGTTTTTGTCTGTAATGTATTAATTTTTTAACTCTTTAATGACTCCTTAATTTTTGTACAAAATGGAATTGTGCATGTATTGTATATATTATTACTATATTAATTAATTTATTTATTATATTTGTACCTTGATTAATATTGAAAATTATCATCTTTTTACTTCTTTACATTTCATGTACTAGTGCAGAAAGTGCAGCTGAAAAGGACAAATAGCGAAGATTTTGAGGTTGTGCTGACAATCTTCTCACCTGTTTTGAAGCTTTTAAATTTTCCGAAGGTAAAATTTTTTAAAATTAATAGCTGCAAGTCAATATTTCAACTCGTTATGTAGTGTTCCAAATAAATATTCGAATGTTTATTCTTCTATAGATCTGATATTTGATAAAAAAATTAATTTAATAATTATTAAAAACTTAGGTTAACCTGTTTGTTTACTTGGGAAACAAACTAGTCATATAATTATGTATGTGTGTTGTATTTATGTAGTCTGATATAATTATGTATTTTCTTTTTTTCAGGATATATAGTTATATATGAGTATTTAATAAGCATAATTTATTTTTTGTATAGTTTATTAGAGAATGGCCACTACAGAGACTGTGAGCATAGAGAATAATTCCACCAAAAATGGAGATAATACGGAGATGGAAAAGCTGCTCAAAGATAGAGCTGAAAGAAATCGTCAGAAAGCATTGTTACTGAAGAAATCGAAGATTGTAACACATCCATACGCAAATAGGTAATTATCTGAGTATATATATAAACAAAACTTTGAAAGATACTTGAGTACAATTGATAATATATTATATATGATTATTATAGCGAGTCAAATAAAAGATTGTTAAAAGTACAAGGACAACGAATTATTGACAGTGGTGGAGGTTTTCTAATAGAAGATAATAATGATCTGGAACAGCAAATGGTACATAATTATGATATATACAGCTTTGTTATATTTTTGAAAATACTGTAACTTACTCTTGTTTGATTAGTTCAAAATAAGAACAGAACCAGAGCCTGTACTCGGTAAATTCAACAATTGTGAAGAATGTCAACAGAAATTTGGAGACTCCTATCTCCTACATACGTTTAATCTTTCAGTTTGTGATGGATGCAGGTATGATTGATGTCTTAAGTACTGCTAGTTAAGCTATTTCATTTAGCAATGATCTGTGTTAGCACAATGTGTTAGCAATGATCTGTGTTAGCACAATCGACAATGTGTTAGCATAATGAAGATTAATGATTATTAAATCGCCATTTGTCTGCTTAGAGATAAGGAGGGAAAACATTCTCTGATCACCAAAACTGAGGCTAAACAAGAATACCTATTGAAAGACTGCGATCTTGATAAGCGGGAGCCTGCGCTAAAATATATTGTGCGGAAGAATCCACACAATGTTAATTGGGGCGAGATGAAGTTGTATCTGCACTTGCAGATTGAACAAAGAGCCTTAGAAGTCTGGGGTTCGGAGGAAAAGTTACTGAAAGAAAAGGAAATGCGCGACATCAAGCGCGAAGGAGCGAAAATCAAGAAATTCAACAAAAAGGTATTTTAACTGATTACATTATTCTCTTACATTGAGAAACTTGAGCGTAACCTTAGCGTCCTCTCGCAAAGTCGTCGAAACTAAATCGTTTCTTGTATTTTACCATCGCAAAGATGAAACAGCTGCGCATGCAAGTGAGAAGTTCGTTGTACGATAGGACGACCAAGGTAGCACACGTTCACGAATTTGGGGAAGACACATACAATGAGGAAGATGATACGTATACGCATGCTTGTACAACCTGCGGCTATGAAGAAACGTACGAAAAGATGTAATAATGTTACGATGAACCTTTACAGTATCATAATTTAATTCGTTAATTATATACAGCTACATACACAGCCAATCTACATTCTATACCGATATATTCAATTTTTCCTCGAAGACTTGCGAAGAGATAACAATAGCGTGTGAATATTATTGCGACAGTATGAACAATATTAATTTTATCATTATTACGATGATAGGAACGATATATGTTTCACACTTTTTTCTGTGAGTCTTGGATCGGTCAATTTTGCTTGCAATCCATCAACTTTATCTCTCTTTAGTACTGTGCATAAATTATTTTTACTGTGATACCTATTTTGTATATCTGTTATGTAACTCGACGAAATTGTGAATGTGTTATAATAATACCGAGATGATAAAATTCACGTATTTAGGCACGGTGCACGATGAAGGCCAACGTATGCGGCGTTACCCTGTTTTTTCCATATTAATACAAAAATATGCATATGTCATAATATTAAATGTTATTATCTCATCGATATAATGGTAGGCATTAATTAGAAGAATGAAATAAATAATCCCAACAATTTTCTTGATAAATTTTACGTATATTTTAAAACTTATATCTGTATTTTATATTCTAGTCTCTTGTTTTATTTCTATTATAACATTATTATCTTCTCATCTTTATTTACATTTCTTAATCTTCGGACAACTTTCCGGTTTATTTTTCGTCTTACATTCTTTTTCTATTTTTAAGTTTATTATAATGCAATGTCGAAATAATATAACGATTTTACATTTCATTTGCTGTTCAATACATACAACAATTTTCTCCATCATTACATACCCTCATCAAAACGTAGTTAATACAGCGATAAACAATTCGTCAATTTTATCTTCTCGATACAATATGTCTACATATTCTCCGCCGTTTTATTAAGCACATTTTAATCTTCGGAAGACTTTATGTAAACAACATCTGTAACATTTATACAGCTAATTGTAGCGCATATGGTTCTTAATTTCNTATTTAAAAAAACGAGCGGACGTTAAGAACACACACGACACTATCGTATGTCATTTTAAATACGCGCTCAATTTTTCATATATCCTTTTCATATATATATATATATATTCACATATATAAGATATATACGAAATATATTTTTATATACAGGGTGATTTATTTTAATCTTAACAGACAAATATTTCGAAAAAATGGAAGATATGAGAGTGTTTCAAATAAAACTTGTAGGGTTTAGAAGAGGACATAAAATGATCTCAACTTTGTTATACAGCTAATAATTCCAGATTACTTCAAAGTCAACTTCACTTTTTTAATAGAATCATATAGTTTTTTTTAACACAAATCGATTCCTCTGTTAATTATACATACAAAAATACTAGGGCAAATACGGATACTTTTTGTGTTATTTTATTTATCATTCTGATATTTTTTTAGTACGAGATATGAAATATCTCATAAAATATTTATTTTTTGATAATATCTTTTTGATAACATTTGGGAATATTTTTATATGTATAAAGAAGAGGAATCGATTTGTGTTAAACAAAACTGATATGAAACTCTATTAAAAAAAAATGAAGTAGAATTTGAAATGATCTTGAATTATTGATTGTACGAAGCTAAAATCACTGTCTTATGTCCCCCTCTAAACCTTACTTTTATCTGAGATATATTCCTATATTTTTCATATTTTTCGAACTATTGTCTATTAAGATTAAAATTAATCACTCTGTATATCATATATATTCTTATATATGTGCATATATATATATGCACACTTGTATAGTGGTGGACAAAATGGTTGTTACACTTTTTTTTATAAGTTCGCAACGCATCTCCTATCCAATAGGAAAATGTATCTCCTATTGGAATAATTCCGAAAGTTATCAAAACAAAATCAAAGAGTAACGATTTTTCTGTCCATCACCATACGCTGGGTTTTAAAACGGTTTGAATACTTTTTTACGATGCAGTTCGAGATGTAGCCAACGGTTCAATGAAAGATTTTTTTTGTTTATTAATACCCAGAAGTTATGTTCTTTCACTGGACTATCGGCTACGTTCCGTAAACTTGGAAATTCAGCATATATGACAAATAATTATAAAAAATTCTAGTATATGCGACGCAAGTGACGCAGGTACAAGATAACAAGCAGCCCATACAGCCGAAAGAAACGTGTTAATGTTTCTGCGTGAAGTCCGCGCAAAGGTACTGTGAAGAGGGCACAGTTAGCTTCTCACCAGCACTACTATGGGCAATGTTCATAGAGTTGCTAACTGTGACGGATGACCTGCGGACATAAAAAAACATGATTCAACCGATTATTCTCATATTTGATGATCAAATTGATATTTGGATAAATTAAACCGATCAATTTGCGAGAAATTTATAAATTAAGTTTTATTCACAACCGAAGAATCCCTTGAAAAGTGAAAAAAGTTGGCAGTTTTATGAGATCAAGATTACACACATGCATCGCAGGCTATTATCTTTTTTTTTTTATAGATACGGATTAAGATTGCTTCATAATATCAGTATCTAGCGAGATATAATCAGTACCCAGTGAACATCAATTCTAATATAACATCAATGTTATCATTTCCCACTCGACAATGTAAATGCAATACAATATGTGTGTTATCTAACAGTTACGTTATCGAGTGTGAAATTGTAACGATGGTGTTATATTATTGTTAATTGGTTCACTGGTTATTCAAGCTACTGACGTTCTCATAAAGCTATTTTAACAATCAAGCTTTTACAAAACGCCAGTTCTTCCGGCAACATTAATGAACGCAATTCTCGTCGCGGCAAAAATTTCACAAGAGAGACTCTGCATAACTTTCAACGGTCCTACCTGTTATACCTAAGATGACTCTTGACTAAGTGTCCGGCGGTTAACGCAGCCATCAGAGACAGCTCTCCGGCGAGGACGGTGGCGCATACGATTCGGGCGAGTTTGCTGGCGTTCTCGCCGGGTTCGGTGGCGTGCGCGCCCTTCACGCCCAACATAGCCAGGCACGCCGCCTGGGCTGGCAAGTTCGTACCACCGCCCACCGTACCGATCTCTATGCTGGGCATTGTGCAAGACACGTACAGATCTTTGCCCTCCTCGCCCCAAGGCTCCATCAGCGTCATGCAGTTACTACTACCGACGTTCTGCGCAGGATCCTGCCCGGTAGCGATGAAGATCGCCGTCACGATGTTCGCGGCGTGCGCGTTGAAGCCACCTATACTGCCCGCCACGGCGGAGCCGACCATGTTCTTGCTGATGTTCACGTCGACGAGTGCGTGCACCGAGGTCTTCAGCACACTGGTGACAACGTCCACCGGCACGACCGCCTCGCACACCACGCTCTTGCCCCTACCTTCGATCCAGTTGACGGCCGCGGGCTTTTTGTCGGTGCAGAAGTTACCGCTGAGCGACAATATCTCCATGTCCGGGAAGTGGCTCTGCACCGTCTGCAGGGACTTCTCCGTGCCCTTCGACAGCATGTTCATGCCCATCGCGTCGCCGGTCTTCGCGACGAAACGCACGAACAGGTGCCGGCCGGCAATGCGCACGTGAATCCGCGTCAGCCGGGCGAATCGGCTGGTCTGGTCGAAGCTGTTCTTCATATCCTCGAAATTCTGCGGCTGCTGCATCCACGACATGGCCTCGCTCGCCCGGACGATGCTCGGGAATCGCACCACCGGCCCCCGGGTCATACCGTCCGCCACTATACGGCTTGTCACACCGCACTTCATCAGCGCCCGGCTGCCGCGGTTAGTGGACGCCACCAGGCAGCCCTCTGTAGTCGCCATTGGCACGTGATACAGTTGGCCGTCGACCAACAACGGCCCCGCGATTCCGACCGGCACGGGCAGGTAGCCAATCACATTCTCGCAACATGAGCCGAACACTTTGCTGTAGTCGTAGTTCTTGTACGGCAGCTCGGCTATCTCCTTCGTGAAATTGCCCACGGCGCCGGTCACCAGACGCCTGATCCCGACGCCACGTTCCATGTCGCCCACGGCTTTCTCCAACTGATAGGCAGCTATGTGCTTGTGTTTCACCAATTGGATCACTTCTTGGTCCGTCAGCGCGTTAGCTCCGAGCTGGAAAACAAGATGATACCAATGGAAATGGAGAAGATCTCACTCTCGATTGCGTTTCATTAAATATGTATGAGAAGCAGCAATGATTCTGTAATTTCGACTAATACAAATCCGTAATTAGCCGATATATGAGAATGTATTTCTCTTTTCTCTTAATTAGCCAGCTCTCCTTGCGTTTTTCAACACAAGGGATAATTACAAGCCTTATAAATTAACATTTATTTATTCTTCATTTTAGGTCTCTCTCTCTCTCTCTCTCTCTCTCTCTCTCTCTCTCTCTCTCTCTCTTTCTCTGCCTCTCATAATTTACAATATGTTAATATAATAATCAAATTTACAATATGGTAGTATAATAATCAAATAAGAAAGATTAAATAAGAATAGAAAGAAAATAAAAAGAAGAAAATAGCAGTTAACGATGCGTGGTTAATGCGTGGTAGTTGGTTCTACGATTTAAGTCTAATCTTTCATTTTTCACAAATCATTTTTGCATAATTTTCTTTTTTTTAGAAGATATAAAATTTTTTTATTTATCTTATATCAAAACGATGCACGAATCGATTTTACTCGATTCATTTCTTGTAACTTGGGCTTCATGATAAGTTTTTAATATAGTTTTGAAGGATCATAAAAAAACCATTCTTTTTCATTTTTCCGCGGGTTTTTTGGTTTCTTTTGCAAAAATAGGAAAAATCTATTTAAAAAAATTCACGTATGTTCGGTTAAAACCTGCCATATTTACTTCTTTTAAAGAAGATAATTGTGTAAACTTAACTGAAGTTAAATGAAGTTAATATATTATATGTTATTAAAATTTTTTTTTTAATAGAATCATATGGTTTTTTTTTAAGTAGCAGTAAAAAAACCATTTTTCGCAAGAAACCGTTTTTCATTTTATTCCCAGCGATTAAAAAATTGATCTTTTTAAAACTACAGTTTTTGAACTTCATATTAAAGTTTCATATTAAAAGAGCTGACACAGAAGCTTCTATTCTTTTTGCTATTGCCATATCGGACTGATGTCGGAGATAAAAAATTTGAATTCTTACCTCAGACTTATATATTTCTAGGCACTCTTCTACACTTCTAGGAACAAGTATCTTCGGCTCTGACGAGCTCTCATTGGCGGAGTCACACGCAATGAAATATTTCGCGTCGGTTTGCACTTCCTTGTCCAAGTACTCCACATGCTTTTCGTTGTCATCTTCAATCCATCCGCCACCGACCCCTGAGAGCGGGAAGACCGACGGTTGCTGGATCGACGGTAATGTTTTTCCACCGAATCGCTGTCGTAAGGACATGTCCATGGCCGTCGTATTCACGTCATCCAAGGCGAGGCCATCGAGCTCCGCTCTAACTTCGTCCATTTCTACCTCCTCTGTTTCCTCCTGCTTAAATCTTGACTGTTTCGCAACGTCGTTTCTATCTTCGAAGAAGATAAATTTCACCGACAACGCCAGCATTAGAATCAATATCACAACATTATCCGCGCTGACGGTCAGCAGATTTATCAAATGCCCGGTCAGCTCGGAATTCTCAGTCTTGTAGGAGCCATTCGTTACTTCCGACCTCACGGATGTCGCTACGGCTTCTGCTGTGTGCTCGATTTCTTCAGTCTTGAAAGGCCAACGGCTGTAACACGTAATGATTGATTAATTGACGTGTTGAATTTGTATTAATCAATAATTTATTTATATTAATTTTCTTTAGCGAAAATATATTGAGAAAAATCTTGTTGTTTCTCGCAACTTTCCAATTTTTAGTGTTACATGCTTCTGCGATCTGGTTGAGATCCCGGGTTCAAGTTTCATCAAAATCAACTTCATTCAATCTCGACCGAAGAATGCAGCTTTGATATCCGTTTGGCTTCCTCGAACGTTTAGTTGGCGAAAACCCCTTCTTTATTAATCGTTTGTAATTCTTAGTTATCATCAGGACATATTCACCGAGAAAAGGAACAACTTCAATCAAAGTATCCGTCGTTTAAAAATAATTCCGACGGAGGAACTCTCTGTCTATATTGGAATAATGAAAATCTAAACTTTTAATATACTACACATGTCGTTATATTATGTAACTACAAATATGATTTAAACGCGGCACTAGTCAAAAATCGTATAGCGAACGTTAACGCAGAAACTGCCTTACATAAAACGCCACATTATGTATGAAGTTAGTACATTCATCGGCCGCGTTTTCTTTATCCCTGTCGGTCGCTAGACGCGACGTGGATCTAACAGAGTTTTTTCTCAAACTGAACAAACGGATGATAACCACCCACGGAAGAGGGCCTAAAGTGTTTGCGCACCCACTCTGTGACGTCTATTTTCGAACTCTCATTTTACTTTGTATGGGCGGCCAATCTTTTGTACGCGTGTTATTATTAACTTACGTACCTCATGCAATATTGAAACCCATCGACTCATCCGGGCTCCGTTCAAAAGTGTAGCGCTCGATACGCCAAAACCCCAAGAACGGATTATAACCACGGACGATACAATTGAAATTCGAACGAAATTGCGCTGGAATTTATCTTTATCGCATAGTGTATCTTTACACAGAGCTCGGCCTTAATATAATATAGCAAAAACAACTTCTATATCTACGAATATGAACGAAAATCATAGATCTTTCACTAATAGTCGTTACTTGAAACTTCTTATATAACGCACATGTTTAAAAGATATCTAAGAGGCGCCTGAAACATTTTATTGTCTCAAAGATATTTTTACGATTTTTTAACGTTCTCCCTCTCTGGATTAAGTCACGCGAAAATATGTAGATCTAAATTTGGATTTGAGCGTTTCAGTTATACGATACGATGGTTCCACTGAAAAATTCACATCTAACATCTATAACAGCGAATCTGAGTATCACTTAAGGCAAGTTCCAAATAACGACTATTAACCGTTTGCACTCGAGGGCTCCGGAGCGGAGCCATTTAAAATTTGTCTTCAAACTCGAGGGCTCCGCTATGGAGACAATGCAAATAACTTTCAGTTCATAACATAAGGACAAAGACAAATCGTAAAAACTATTGCGTATAGGATATTCCGTTCTTGCTATTTGCATTTGAGTTTGAAGAGTTTCAAGACAAATTTTAAATGGCTCCGCTCCGGAGCCCTCGAGTGCAAAGGGTTAATACGAGCCATAGTGACGCCATAGAAATATAAATGTTACGATTATTACGATATATACGATTAAGGCCTGCCTAAATGTTCTCCTGTATTCTTTAACGTTCGTCGCTCGCCCACGTGAGCGGGACAAGCTTGAAGCTGAAGAGCACTTGAAGCAGGAAAAGAGCGGAGGTGCAATGGAGTTTACGCGCGTCACAGCATTGCTAGGGTTCACGGTACTGGCAGAGATTTCAAAACGATCAAGATGAGATAGCTTCTTCACTGAATATGGACTATACACGTTTATGTCCTATTCTGATGCGTTCAGGATAACCCGCCAGAATTAGAGAATGGTACGCTACATAATAGTAAGTAGTCAGCGCGAGAGTGCTAGTAAGAAATAGATTTATAGCTGTACCACGTCATCGTTCACGCTGTACGACGTTACATTGTACAGCACTAAGAGTGTCCAAGTTCACACCCGCGATGATGAGAGCTCTTACGCGTGCCGAGATATAATATAGCGGAAAATTCACGTATGAAAACTTAATGTACATACCTGCTGGCGTGCACCACGAATAGGCCAAAGATCATGATCGTTTTGACGCGTTGTACCACGGGATTCGGTTTTTGGTCCTCCTCGTTCAATAGATGCATTATGAATCTCTTGTCCGCGCTCAGTTGCCCCATGCTGTTACTTCCGCGAGAAAGCTATAAAGATATCGCCGGATTGACATCTGTTCTCAGCCGGCAGGTACATTTGGGGCTTGAAGGAAGGCAGCAGAATTGTAGGAGAATATGCAGAGAACATTAAGTCCGAATCTATCAATGGGTATAGTAAACCTAAGGACCATGGCGCGCAGAAAAACGTAAGCAGTAAAAAAAATTGACCAATCACAATCGATCGTCCTCTTTATCCAATCGAAGAATAATCGATTGCGATCGGTCGATTTGCTTACTACTTACGTTTTATATGTGGCCACAAGCCTTAGTCTCTTGCTCTAAATTGAAACGTAATTTCTAGCAAAGAGCGTTTCCAGAGCTATCAGGTGTCGCAATTCCTCAATTTTCAACGTTACTACCAATTTTACAATTTTTGACAGTGAGAAAAACGCCTTTCGTCAGAAGTTACATTATATTTTGCTGCTTAGAGCAAAAGGCTAAAGGTTACACCTATTGCACAGGATTGAAAGAACAGATTCCAAATAATCAGGATATGAAGACCCTATCAGAATCTGATATCTTAAATACCTCCAGTATGAGCGAGAGGCAAGCCGGGTAGAACGTCATGAATACAATGTAGTTGACGATGACGCCCAAGCATGCGAAGGTACACATGATTTCTAGTCTCCTGACACCCGATAACGATCCGATGCCGATAAGAAGGAATTCCACGATGGTGTCGAGAGTGATGCTTGGTCCCAGGAGCGACATGCCACGTGCGATATTCGCCTTGACTTCCTCCTGACTTCTCGAACTCAGTGCGTACTTCGCTAACGTGCCGGCTTTCGAAAGGTCGATCAGGAGGAGAAAGAAGAATAAAGCATCCCTGGAAACGAACGATCTATAGTAACAACTAACAGGAAGAAAAGAGACCAAGACGGAGGACTATTCTCCATTGGATATTCACGCACCTATAGCAAGTATACATAGAACGAGTCGGCAGTAATAAAACACTTAAATATCTCTTGAGAATTTAGAAGGTATGAAAGGTTTGATGTAATTGATACTCATTGATTGATCGAACGAGAGCGAGCACGATGAAGATTGGAAGAAAAAGAACTAATATATCCGCGCGTTTCTCCAATTCCCTGTTGTATAGAAAACGTAGAATTTACGGACGGTTTGAAAATTCAAGAATTCTCTGTGCTGAATACTGTTTATTTCAGTTCTTTATAATCTTATAATCGCTGATATATTGACAAGTAATATGTCATATCATTTTAAAACGTTACTATATATAAGTAAATAAATGTATGTATACGTATATGTATGTATGTATATATTCTACGATTTCCTAACACAGACTGAAAAAATTAGAAAGGGACCGGATCTGTCGAATCTGCATAATGTGATTCTAATTTGATTCGTTCCGTGTACAGAAGTGAAATAGTACCTACTTCAAGTCCGAGACGTTGCCGCGGTCGAAATTCACCAAGGTGCTGGTGAACACCACGCTGGAGAATACGGTAAAAAGGCCGGCGATACCTGCAACAGAGATTTCCGCAGCTTCCTGAGTATAAGATATTAAGATCCTGATACATCGGGAGATAGAATACGCTAATAAACTGACATTTCGATCGTTAGTACACACCAACGTAATTATCGACGTGTTACGTCTGTGCAACGTAATCTCATCGTGAATTAATATCTCGCTGACTATTTGCGTGCGCAACGTCTCTAACGTTACAGGTGCGTAGATTTCATATAATTAAGTACAGCTAGAGCACTCAATAACCGAATGTAATCGTACGTGCGCGCGCGAACGTGATACTACATGCTAAACGCTATCGCTTTCCATGATACTTTCACTGCCGCCGAGGGCTTTCACGCGCCGCTCGAGAAGATCCGGTTTTATGAATGATCCAAGCATGCATAATTATTACACATTTATCTCAGCGCGCGAGCTTTTCTGTCTTCAAATGAAGAAATCTGTATATACGATGCTCTACCGCGGCTCTTTTGAAAAGATAAACGAGGAGCTCGGAAGTAAAATTAGCAATTAACACTTTAATGGCCGCACATCTACGCAATCAAACGTCGCCAGGGGCCGGCAATATTTTTGAAGAATTAATTTTAAAAAACTTTATTAAAATTTGTTGTTTATATTCATAAATCATCACACAGAGAGTGTGGTACTGGCCAATAATCTTCGGCGGTAGCATCACACACATGTTGTGTGAGCGGATAGTAACAGTTGTTCCGGCTATCACACACATGTTGTGTGAGCGGCCATTAAAGTGTTAATATCGGTGTGTATTTCGTTTGTATATATATATATATATATATGTATGTATAACTTACCTAAAACATATTTAGATCCCATTTTCTGTAAATTGCGAAACAGGTAATAGGTGAATAGTACAGCAAAACATCGTATTATCGTCATCACTATAATATCCGCTGCATTCTGCTCCTGATAAACAGAAATACGAGTATTCTGTACGTCATCTATTCGAATATGCAGCAGCGACAATCTCGTAAGAAAACATTATTCAATCTGGGAGCGATTATATCGAGAGTGCTTCGTGTCGTAAATATGTATTTTGTTCACTAATGTATTGTTTGAAGAAATATACCTGATATTCGATCGTTATTGTTCATTTTAAACAAACAGCGAATTTACGGGACGGCCGCACAAAGAAGTCAACAAATGTGTGAAAGTAATGGTAAACTTGAATTTCGCAGTATCTGCTTACATCGTTATCGCATTTGCCGTGACGACAACGCGTAGCATTGAGCAAATTTCCTTCGCGCAGCAGGCTGTTTCCTGTCTCCATGTTGAGCATGCACGCCGTCAAAGTGAAGGTCGCCACAATCACTTCCAGAGGATGACCGGCACAGAACCGTCCGTATACCTCGAAGAAGTGTGCCATTGTGTCTTTGCTACACGACAGTGCTATGCAAAATCTGTAACATGTGGAAAGAATCCTTTATTTCTGATCGTTGATTGCCCGAAGACCGACAGGTGGCTCGACACTTCCCGTTGGGAAATGGAAAAGGAAATCATTTTGACCCGTTGAGACGAGCTGAGACTTTACAACTGTAACGATAATTGTAATTACTCAGACAAAACAAATATCTAAAAGGCTTCTTAAAGAATTTGAAAGACATTTGAAAAATATAACGTCTTTTAGATGTTTTTAAGATGTCTATTAGAAATTTGTTCTGTCTGGGTAATCGCTGTTAAGTAGTAAAGGAATGATTTATTTATTATTAAAGGGGTCCTGGAATCGTTCTCTTGTACTGCAAATTTTTTAATACTACATTTGTCTGCACAGAATTAGAAATCCTTTTACATAATTATAACACATATGTTAACGTAGGCGGCAGTTAACTTTATTCGAAAAATGAGAAAAGTTATATAATTTATTAATTTGTTTTCGTTTTTCGAATAAAGTCAACCGTTGTCGCTTACATTGACGTATGTATTGTAATTGTGAAAAGGACATTTAATTCTGTGCAGTTAGTAATGAATAATAAGTTAGTAAAAAATAATACTGTGAATATAGTACTAAAAAATTTGTAGTAAAACAGGATGACTCGAGTATCTTTTTAAGAGCTTGCGAAAGTTCGTTGGACTTTTAGTAAAATTTCTTTTATTAACAGTGACAGCAACGAAACAATGCGTATCATGCTGAATCAAAGTATCTGCCATTGTTATCCATTACTTTCTACTGTTTTTTTCAAGTAATTCAGGCAATCGTTTCCGCGTTTGTAAAGTGACTCATCTTTTGAGCCAATGAGATTGAATGCAATTCGACGAACTTTTGTTGTATTCCTTACATCACGTAGAAGCTTCTGACGAAAATAACGGTCGACGTATCGCGAAGACTAATTTCATCCGTTAAATCGGTAGAAAAATCCGGAAAGAACCGTGAAAACTCGCATCCGGTATCTCTGCCTCTCTCGGAAAAATTCGAGGAGCAAACAGGATCGTGAATCGATATGGTATGCGATTAACATGCGGCATGGTGCCCGAAGATAAGATTCCCTGTTTGGGGAAAGTATCAAGATATTACGTAACTTTTTACAAGTGTCAACATGGTCGTCATATTATGAGTTATATAACGATAGACTGCTTCAACTGTGTACTCTAACATTCGATCTCGCGAAATTTGCTTTTTAGCATCGATGGTATGTTAAACGACCAACTGATGTCATGAAAAAGAAGAAAGGGAGAAAAGAAGAGGAGAAAAGCGAAAAAGATCAAACAAATAATGACAGCTACGTGTTGGAATGATATTTAATAATGTATTAAGATATGACCAAGTGGGGTTAGTAATACGTCAAATTGATTCAACATACATTTCGACGTATAAACAAGTATGTCTAATATATTGCTAATGCAATGGTCTCGTAAACCGCACAATAAAGACAAAGAAAGCTGTAATGATTCATTGTAAGTATTATTTATTTGACCTCTGAGGCAATCGAGGTGTCTTCATAAAAACGGCGTGAGAATTCTCTCTAATAAAATGTTACAGCAACTTTGCATACGTTGCGACATCGTACTCTCGAATCTCTCGAATAATTCACACCTGCTAATCGGCCGACTGCCGAAAACGAGCCTCGTTTCACGCAAGTATCACGGTCGAATTCGGAGTGTCGGTCATAAATAAATTTTCGAAATGAGGCAGGCGAGGTTTAGATCAAGAATTTTCTGGGGCGGCTGATTTTTTCTTTTCTTGTTGCTCAACCACTAACATTACCACGTCGATTGTATGTCACGTGCCATTGTGCAACGATAAGAGATCGATATGAAACGCATTGCACATTTGGCATTTTTCATATCTATTAATAAACGTAGTTAACTCTCATAAAAAACAACTAATTCGTCAGCATGGAACTCGAAAGAACGAGATATCTGTCAAGGTTGGTGACTTTCCAAGAGCCAATGTACTCGGGAATATTTCTACACTCAACTGACCGTTGTACTCTTCTCACTTCCAACAGGTACCAACTGTCTGAGACATATTATTATTTCCAAAGCATCAATGAGTACGACACAGAGCCAGAGAGCGTAAAATCATGGGAAGTAAGGCAGAAAATAAAGCCGAAAATCGCACAAGCGTCAGAAAATAAAGACGATGAGCTCGTGGTGAATTAATCTGAATCTATTAGTTCCCTGATAGAATAAATTACGTTTTCGCAATGGCCTCACGATCGTCTCTCTCCATGGGGCGTATATCAACTGGCCGAAGAAAGTACCGCTTGCAAAATCGCAAATTTCGTCAACGGCAGGTCGATGCCGCCAACGGAGTACGTTAAATGTAACCGATGGACAGAGTTGGAACGTTCGCGATGAAGTGCCAGTACGAAGTGATTTGCGAAAAGGATCAGAGGATTTAGAGACTCACAGTATCCTGCTCCGAAGGAGCTTTGAAATCGATTGGGCACATCTGTGGTGTATTTTTACGATACGCTCGCGTGTCTTATTAAAATATATGTTATACATAGACTATTTTTACATGACATCCCCATCACGTGACTTTACTCTAGATTCAATCGACGCTAGATTATCTCGCATAATTAATGCGAGTAAATCGTTGCGAACAGATAATAAGTGAAATAAGGATCGTTACGTCATGATGAAATGTTAATATTACAATTACGTGAATTTGTTAGTCTTGTTTCATTAATTGTTTTGATCGCAGAAGCCTCATGACATATTAATGTCAGTTGACCTAATAGTACAATAATCGTGCAGTAAATTAATTTATAGAAGAAACCTAGGAACACGACACGTGTTCACGCAGACAGCGTTAAGCAACCACTACAAACTCGGTGAGATCACCCATATGAAAAATATAACGTAGTGTCACGCATCGCCAACTATAGGGATCCGAGAATATCGATCGTGTTCGATATGATTTGCACTTCGGATTTGCATACAAACATTTAACAAACGAAAGTTTGACATTTCCGATTATGACGACATGTCGAAAAAACCCGACTTTTCCGAGAACTACACGGAACGACCTTATCGTAAAAAAAACAAGAAAAATTATAAATTTCAAATAACGCAAATTATGTCGATAAAAAATAACGAATGATTGAACATGAGAAAAATATCTTTCGCGTATGCGTTATCAATTTCAAATATTATCATTTATGTTTATCAATTAATATTATTGTAATATTAATGTATGCTAATGAATATATTTTTATATAATCGTTAAAAATTCCTGGATAGTCGCTATGACTGTCCTGGCTTATTGATGCCAAATGCGAGATAACACATATTTTTCTGAAAATGAACTGATCTTGTCAATATTAATTTTGCGATTATTTACTGATTCAAGTGAAAGGAAAATATTCAAACAATATTTACACAAATGTGCTGGATCGATTACAAATGTTATTTTGTAGGTATATCTTTTTATTTAAAAATATAACACAAGAAATCTTAGCAGTTTTCTTGCTGAAGTTATCAAACAAGAATAGTTACAGCGGCTACTCAGAAGCTTTAACTTGCTTTGTTTAGAAAATGTATTATATACAAAATATATTACATATGTATAAAAAACTTGGAGAGTGAGAGAGATTACGATATCCACCGTCGCCATTCGTCGCGGCGAACTGCATTTTCTTCAATAAATTGTCTACTACCACTGTATTGTAAAGAAATTTATTTCTCTAATTAAATTATCTCAAAGATCAAACCCAAAGATGAACATAGGTTAATATTAATGTACGACTATTGACATTTGGATATTGTAATGAGCCATAATTCTCTTCAACCAAGTCGACAAAGCTTTTTTTAGGTAAATGAATAAAGTACCGTGTGCATTTTCCGCTATTTTTCGCCGATTTTACCGTGTCACGCATTCCGAGGGAAATTTTTCAACTTTTCCGCGCCGAGATCGCTACTTTCTTTATTCTTCGTGAGCGCCCACCTTTCTCGCGCGTATACTAATGCAACGCTACGTCGTCGTCGCTTCATCGCGCTGCTCACTTTTTCCACCGGTACGTTTCTCTTTCGCGACCAGACTGTCCTGTAAATTAAGTTTACTTTCCTTGCCAATAATACTTTCTTTTATGCGATCTGTTGCGGCGCGTATGCCATCTTCTTCTTCTCTTTTGTTTCGGCATTTTTCTTTTTTTAATATTTTTCCTTTATTCATTTATTCTGCTTCTTTTTTTTGCCAATTAAGTGTTGCCGCGCGTGATAGGGAAAGTTCGATTTTTACGCGCGTATTGACATCACAATGCATATTCTATTAATACTTTGCACTCGAGGAGCAAATAACAAGAGCGGAATAATACACAATAGTTTTTACGATTTGTCTTTGTCCTTATGTTATGAACTGAAAGTTATTTGCATTGTCTCCGTAACGGAGCCCTCGAGTGCAAAGGGTTAATTTTCGACATCTGGTTGCAAACATTGAGATTTATACACATTTCAAACAAAAAAGTTTTACGAGTCGATTAGAGAATTAAATAATTTAAAAAATAAATAAATAATAAATCTTATCTAAAACAAATATTGCAGTAACATTGTATGTCGAAGGATCTAAAGAATTTATTTAATTAATTAATAAACTGTTCAAAAGAAACAAATAATTCTACAAAAGTATTATAATAACACGATAAAGTAGGAATTTTTAATGAAATTTATATTTATCAATTGTAACTCTAAGTAGAGATTAAAACCGACATAAAAAATATAATTTTTATCTTCTTGTCTTACTCAATAACTGAAAGATAAGCGATTTATATAAATATCGATATTAAAAAATTTCGGTATAACTTCGATATTGTGTGTGAACATCCAATGCCAAATCACATTATTGAATGTAATTATCATCAAATAATTAGATTTATAATGTAATTATAATATATGTGTAACAAAAGAATACAAAAAGGAAATAATAATTATGCATACCGATATGGAAATCCACAGTATT